GGGTAGATTCGCGAGTTTTTTTCGTTTGGTGTTGAGATTCTAGTAGATTGATCGCTTCTTCTTTGCTGATTACGTCAGTGCTGTTGAGATTTGGAATTCGTTATCTCTGATAAAGTGCAAGGCACGTCTGTTTCATGCCAATAATTTTTTCAAATACTCATTTATTTACGCTCTTGTCAAAATAAAAATACGAGTTAGTAATAATAAATGTTTGCTCTCACATGTATCGGAAATCAATGGTTGATACCAATTGTTCGGGGGTCATGTCGACGAGCAACTTCCACAGTGGTTTTTTCTCGATACGCGCCCACAGGTCCCACAGAGCATTGACGATCGCAGCTGTTGCTAAGTGAGTTACTCCTCTTTCGGGACCGATCTGTTTATACCAGCGAAATGATCAACAATTATATAAGCGCGTGAAATGTTGTCAAGAGCCAATTGCATACCCATCGCAACTGAGATTCGCTCGTCAGTTTCCGCCAGAAGCTTGCAAAGTCTTTGTATATATCCTGGACGTTTACTCCCAATACTAACCGTGACATTGTTTTACATGCCAGTACCACTTTATTTTTTTTTAGTTAAAGAGGAATAAGTGAAATTAGAATGTATTGAAAATAATAAATGATTTTTCTGCTCATACCGATTTCCGTTCCGCGACCCAGAGTAAACGTCATCCCGTATCCTTCGATGCTTTTATTGGTTTTAATAGTCACGTACGCACACGAGTAATCAGGATCAGTGTGCTGAGTTTTGCGCAGGAAAAAAAGGAGACGACGTCAGGGCTATGGCAAAGAGTGCAAAAGCAGAGTCATAATTACCATAGCATCGCTGCCGTCGGATTTCAAAGACGTCGGAAACCTCACGTCTTGGACGTCGACTTCGACTACTTTTATTCCTTCCATTCTCGAATTGAATTCGCTGCGTGTGGTGTGTGGCACTGCTCGATTCTACCGAGCGACTCCAGCAAGTGAGCGAGTGCAGCTTGTAAAGCAGCTGAGTACTCTTTCCTCTACGCCGTGCTTCACTGATAACAGACACTCGATTGGAAAGCCTTCGAAGCTTTATTCCGTTCCAAATATCAGTGACGACCCTGCCGTCGCAAATTTCAATTCGAGATAGCATGGTCGACAAATCGCTTCAATTTTAATTGTATAACTTCTACTTTTTTGACAGTCAAATTAACGCTACATTTCCCGCATGAATTCCAATTATTTATTAGTTACCGTTATTAGTATACGCGGCTACCTAACCAAGCTTTGATTATTCATTGATGAGAAAACAGCTTAAACTATATATTGCAGTACCGTGAATTGTATACGTCAATTGGAAGATGCTTTTGCATGCACTGATATTATTTTCTCTTGATTGATAAGGGCGTTGCACCCCCTATCATAAGTATTTTAGTTCTGGGTTGTTCATCTGCTACACATACTGAACCTTACCATTAAACTTACTTAAATTCGTTATTTTAAGGACTTTTTAAAATAGAGTTTATCAATAGAACACTTAGTTTTATTTGTTTGCTTATTTTTGCTAAGTAGAAATTGAAACTATTGTAAAGATCATTTATGACAATACGATACATATGAATATATAACTTTTATATATATAAATAACAATGGTTTGTAGATTTTTAAAACTTAAAACAAGGAAGGTTCTTTCTTTTCATTGCAGGTGAGGAACATTGACGTTCGTTTATCCAACAATTTGGGGCGTAGATAAGATTCGATTTATAGCAGACTGCAGTTCAAATCACACTTGATCCTTTTTATTTTTGTTTGTTGTATGGCTTTATTTCCTCTTTGGTTTGCTTTTATAAGCTTAGTGATTCGTTGCTCGTCACCTAGCAAATAGCTATCCACAATTATTTTCCCAAATCTCTGACCTGACAAGAGCAAATATATCAATTATTATTTTTATCGACATCGGCAAGTATTTTTGCGATTGTGGTTTATCAGGATATACGCATATATATAAATTCGCAATATATTAACATATAAATAATATTTCAAAGAAAAAGAAGCTCAGTGCTCAATGTTCCAAAGACAATTCGCGAATATTAGAAACGCAGATCGGTGCTTTTCAAAAATTTCGACAAACTTTCATCAGAAATGAGGAGTGGAAGTGGAAGAGACCAATAATTTCTAGTTCCATGTCCGTCCGTCATTCTATGCCAGCGTCGCTTGTCGTAGTCGTGACTCGTGGACTCGTGGACGTAACACAGCATGCTTGATGCGCTACTTGTTATGATTTGAACGCTGTGAATAAATTTTTGCCTTTTTCTGTGTAAAAATAATTCGACAACATGGTACTTAACTTAGAAATTGTAGTTGGGACTTACGAACAATTTTTGCTTGGTTATACCGTCGACGATGCCGAAAAAGTAAGTGCTATGCCTTTTCATCTTAATTTGAGGTTATACTTACATTAAGTTAATAAAATAATCAATAAACCTTCCGCCTTAGACAGACTAAGAATTGGAATAAAATCTTAAAATAATAAAATAATAAAGAAAAAGAATTTAAATAATCGATGCGTATCATTCCCTATCGAGAATGTAATGGATTGGAATAAATTATTGATGAAATATGAACATTAATTTGACGAGTTTTATTCATTACAGAAGTACAAAATAGAGCAAAGTTTTGCAACACACAGCCACCTTGCGAGCATTCGTAGTGTGGCCAGCAATAAACATTATTTGGCTTCTGCAGCTGCTGATGATACAGTTTGTTTGTACGACATACGCAACAGGACAGAAAATGGCAAATTAGTTCATCACAATGGTAAGCAATTTATCAAGTTTGGATTGTATTACTTATTAAATTTATACCTTTTTAATTCATTAATGATTCTTATATTAATTTGTTTGAAGATACTGTAAACAGTATTAGTTTCACACCTGATGGCTCGCATATTATCACGGCAAGCAGTGATGGAACTGTGGGAATTGTACGGTGTGGTAACTGGCAAATTGAAAAGCACTGGCTGAAACCTCACAAGGGATTGTCAGTTGATATGTTAGCTGTGCACCCAACAGGAAAGTTAGCTATGACTACTGGACACGATGGAGTATTGAGAACATGGAATCTTGTTAAGGGTAGACAAGCCTATGCAACAAATTTAGTTCCTAGGTGGAAGATGGATGCAAAGCAAATCAGTGTTCTAACATGGAGTCCGGATGGTCATACTTATCTGCTTGGTGCCAATAATAAAATTGATATTTACTTTATTGAAACTGCAGGCATTGAAGCAGAGATCAATTTTAATAGTAAAGTTATATGTGCTGACTATTTGAATAATAAAAGCATTGCTATTGGCCTGGCTGATGGAAAAATTGTTACATACAGCTTAGAAAGTAAATCTACAAATGCTGAGATTCAAGCACATGAGGCAAGAGTAAAGTGTCTGGCTGTAAGAGATAATTTGTTAGTGTCTGCTTCTAGTTCAGGAGAAATCAAACTTTGGTCTATCAACAATGGTGAATTGACTTTTCTCAATAAAGTTAATTGTAGTGCTAGAATATCTTGTTTAACATTGGCCACATCTCAAGCTAATAAAATTAAAAAAGATGAAATAGTAGTAGAGGAAAGAGTTTCTGAAAAGTTATCACAAAAATTGAGAAAGAAACAAACAGTTACTATTGAAATAGAAAAAGAGATTAAAAACAATATAAAAAACACTATTAAACGTAATTCAAAAAAGTTAAAACGACTTAAATCTAAAAAATGACTGAAAATGTATTTTTAAATTATTTAGCTTATAACCTATTATTGCTCAATTGATAGAATCGAACTAACTATGCCATTCATAGTATAATAAAATAATCATACGTAATTTTGTCTTTTGTCATTTACAACTGTTTATAAAAAATTATTTAAATTTGATCGCGTAACGATAAACAAACTGCACTAATTGATTCTACCGAAAAAATTATTTTGTAAGCCTCTGGCTTTTGTTCGTCAGAATATTTTTAAATTTAAAATCGTTATAAACGATTGGAATGAAAAATTTTGTTATTTTGAAAAACTAATGAAACGAATCAGTTCTACGAAAAAAAAACAAGAATCTCAGGCATCTTTTATCAGATTCTATTTTGCTAGTATAAAAGCGTTACAAATAATCACAGCTTTAAAATTAGATTTAAATTGTTTAGATCGACTTTACAGTAGTATAATAGAGTTTACCAAAAATGCAAAAGAGCTTTCCATTATAATTTCTTTGTAAAATCGATTTGTACAGTTCATTTTCCAAAATATTTCTGTTTTTTAAATAATTTTTAATAAACAGTTACTAATTACAGAAAAAATATTATAAATTGTATAATTAGTTTGATGTTATCTAGGTCAGTCGTTACCTCATCTTAAAGGGTTAATTTTTATTTAAGTAATAAAACATGTTATGAAAGAACTGTAAATAAAAACTTGCCTTGATTTTTACTAAAATATTTGTCTAAAATTATTGCTCTTACATTGCTTCGATTTTTATTCATTTACTATTTAATCATATATTATATAATACTTACAAATTACTTTTGACTTGTTTTTTTTCAAACTTTAATCGATACATATCCGCTACTTATCTAATAATCGTATCGTAAGTGTCTAGAAACCTACCAACATTTTTTTCATTTTTTGTTTCGGATCGTACCTGGAACGTATCAAAAAAGTACCAGAAAGCACGAATTTGAAGCGTTGCGACAACATTTTTGTCTAAGCAGACATAGGCACGTAGGCGGTTACATTCCAATCACAATTCTTACTCGTATCCTTTTTGATACCACCGTACTAAACGTCACATATGGTGGCGGGTATGTATCGGTATCGGTCGATGTTACCTAGGATGTGTAAGACGGAGTTTTTCTGTGACCGTATTCTCATTTTTTTACAATATGAAAGGAGACAAATTGTGCAGTTTCATGTTTTTGTCATGAAGAAAATTACATTAAAATATACATATGAATAATTAGATACAGATTTTATTTTTTTAATAATTTTATTTTATCATTTAAAAATACATTGTTAAAGTTTTCAATTTATTAACTTTTGCCTATATATGCGCAGTAAAAAAGAGTTAAAAACATACAAAAATCTTTAAATCATTGTAATTCAAAAAGTGAAAAATGTCTTTACTTAATACTGTAGATTGTCATTTAACATTGTCGGATAAAATGATATTCATCTTGTGAGCATTTCAGTTATCATGGTCAAGTTCTAACATCTACGTAAGCTAATCTTTGACAATTCACCGGTTTTTCATCGTAACTATTAATATTTACAAATTCTAATCACTTCTTCGATTAATTCGTATTTACTTCTTCGATATCTTGATCGAAAATCAAACGCGAAAGAGATTTATTATTTGGCTTCAAAACTATATTTTAAAAACATATCTTCTCAACATGCCGCGCGGAAAGGAAATTGTCGCTTTCCACATGTTGTTTTGAAAAGTATCGTAGCTAACATGTTCGGCAACAAGATTCTCGTCTGCCTTTTCGAATGAGACAAGAATCTATTTTCCCGTGCTAGTTAGGTAATGTACTATTACAAATTCAAAGTAACATTGATGTATAAATAAGTACATGTACTCATCTTTCTACTTGCGTCAAACAAACAAGACCACGAAATTTCAATAGTTCAACTAATATTTAAACTAATGACTTGCATAATCCGTAAGTTTTTTTTCATTAGATGCTAGTGCGCAGTAAATGGGGTAAAACAGTAGTATGAAGTCTAAGTTCCGAGGCTCGATTTGTAATTCTGCAAAATCTAGGAAAAATGTGTTGACCACTTAAATTAATGGTTTATTACGACTTTTGCCCTGTAATTCGCAACACAATTTTTGAGTATCTTATCTACAAATTCATTGGCAGTCTATTTCGCAGAAAACAAATTGAGATCTTAAAAATTAACGCCAGCACTCGCGCGCGTCGATCCATTCATTGTTTCGCTCCGGCGCATTGCAACGAGCTGCATTGCATACATAACTATCGTTAAGAATTATATAGTTAAGAAATAAAATCAAAGATACGGCTGTCGGCTACGAGTATGCTATCTCGCATCAAAGAAAAGTAAGGTAAGCTTTCATAAAGGCAATTCTATCATTCGCACGCATCACCAGAGAATACACTTGTGCTCGGGATTCATGGGAGTTCCCGTGGGACATTTCCAGGCAGCAGCGAATTCAGCATTGTTGGATAAAGTGCCGATCACCCTGAAGTGGTTGGGAGCGTGCACACCCTCAACCAGTTGTGACTTTAAAGCGCCCGACGTCTGGTTACCGCACCATACCTGCAAAAGTGGGGGAAATCGATCCTCCTGGTTAGCGATTATTGATTTTCGAGAGTTGCGGCTTGCGCGCGGAAATTGGCCGTTCGGAAGCTTCGCCCGAAGCCGAAGAACGTTAAAGTGCCACGTAAAGGCAGACGTTCACAGAGACTTTTGCGAGCGATTCGCTTCGCTCTCGAGAAGGAAATGCAGAAAGATCGCGTAACGACCGAAACAAGATTGCCGTGGCGATTAAAATTATAGTCATCGTTTTCCTCCATTCGCGCTATTATGTTTATATGCATCGAGGCATCGTCGTCGTCCTCTTAATTCCACCCCCCCCCCCTTGCTCCCACGAGATAATTAAAAAATTTTTTTCCTCGACGGGCGCACGGGAATTAAGGCATGAAAAAGTAATTGTACCCCGGAGCAAAGTTTCCTCGCGCGTACAGTAAAACTCGCGTTCTTTCTTTTTTTCGCGAACGCGAGGTACAATTAAAATTGCAACAATATTAAAGTGCGTTCACCTAAAGAGAGAGAGAGAGAGAGGGGGGGATAGTCGTTCCTGTTCTAATGAAGAAATAAGAGACGATAGAAACGAGCGCGCGAGCAGAACCGCGGAATATAATGTTGAATTCGCGGGCTGTTTTTTTTTTTTCGCAAAAATGAAACTTTGGTGCGCGCGCTCTGGTTTTGATAAATTTTTCAAGCGGTGCGTCGCGCGCAAGTTCCAAGCAAGCTTGAAAAGGGCTCGTCTTGGAGTAACGGGGTAATCCGCGTCGGCGAGAGCGAAGGAAAGAGCCGCAGTACCTGAGCGAATCCGAGGAAGAACAGTTGGTCCTGAGTGTAGTCGACGAGGCCGGGCAGGGAGAGCTGCTGATTGGGGCTCCTTGATTTGAGCTTCTGATACGCTCGGTAAGCCTCTCGTATACCCCCGTTGTCCGCGATGTTTTCACCCTGGGTGTTGATGCCGTTCACCTGCGCCAATGGAGAAGATTAGGCGACTGCGGAAATCGAGATTGTAAGTACAGCCGTGCGATGAGGATCGACTCTCCGAAAGTCACTTTCAATTACGCCATTCGGACGCGGACGGCTTTCCAGCTCGAATTGCACGCGAATGCTTCTCTCTGTCCACTCAACGGCGTGGAAAATCGCACGAAATTGTACGTGACAATATGCGAGTTCGGAAGGTTCATGATCTGTGATGAAGTAGCATTTATGTACGTACTTACGTTGGTTATGGGGTAATAAAACCTATTGTTTAGCAGAAATTGCGCGCGGCGATGATAATACCGACATGATTGTCACCTCATTATGTATAAGCCAATCCTATACCTTACCTTCAATTCACGCGTAAGTGAGCTCGAAAGAATAATCGTGAACGAACGCTAGATAAAAGTCTTGATCTTCTCCGTTTCTTCTTGTGCTCCTTACGCTGATGCGTTTGAGCACCGCGTCCGCAATATCTCTCGAGTTCGTCAATATTATCGCGAGTGAGAAGAGAAAAAAGCGTCGCCGTTCTAAAAACCAAGATTCGCACTCCGCTCCGCCGCGCGGACAGAGCTTGCGGTAGCCTAACGTGGCAGGAGCACGAGAGGAGGAAAGAGGCGCTGCAGCGAACAGCCAAAGGAAGCCACGGGAGGAACAACGACGCGTCGCGCTGCTCGCTGCGACCGAGAGAAAAACGGGTAGGTCGTGCCAGCATCGACGAGCCGTAAGAGGCGCCGTTAGGCTGGCGCGCGTAATTTGCTCGTTCGAGCTTCGGCAGCTTTTGCGTCTGACGCGGAGGCCTGGCAGAACTCACGGTGAAATTGTTGCCGAGCTCGGGCAGATGGTAGCCGCTGTACTGCTTGATAATGCACTCGACTTTGTCCTGATAGTGGCGCAGCGTCTGGTCGCTCCACCATTGCCGCAGATTACCATTCTCGTCGTACCGCCTCCCTGCAACGACCAAGCACAATGATATCGTACCTCCTCTCTCTCTCTCGCTCTCGGTCCCTCCGCGAGCCGTTCGTTCCGCTTTAAACTCCTCGTTATAACCAGCTCGCTCTGCATTAGGGTCTCGAACCACCCTCGAGAACTTGCACTCGACGAGAGGCAGGTTTACTCGCGAGGATACTTACCTTCGGTAACTGCCGCGGGTAATCGACTTGATTGCGAGGACGCACCGCTGTTTCCTGCTTTTTCAGCCGAGCAACGAGCGTCGTTCAACGAGGAGGCAAGAAAGCCGCGGGGAGGGCGAGAGGAGAAAACGCAGCCAGCCGATGCGCGCGACTACTCACCTTGGTCGTCGAAGCCGTGCGTTAGCTCGTGGCCCATTATCGCGCCTATCGCCCCGTAGTTTATGGATCTGCGGGAATAATTGAAGAATTTCCATTAGGCCGAGCGGCTCGGCGCGGATACGTCTATCCGGCCGAACTCCTCGATCAGTGCCGAGATTTCGACCCTGCAGGTGCTGGTCCACGATGCGCCGGTTAATAATGGACAAGGCCGCGCCTTCGATATTCCACGCGCGCGATTTTTCGCATCGTTGTACTCACTCGAGGCCGTTGCCGTAGAACGGAGGGTGCAGGATGCCGGCGGGGAACGCTGAAAACAAACAGAGCGGACAGTCGGCAGATGTTCGGGCCGAGCGCTCCTGACTACGGACCCGTCGCGCCCGTCCGCAAAGCCAAGTCGCGAGTCCACGACTAATTGAACCGCCGGCGATGAATCAAGCCGCCCCCGTTAACAATGTAATCCTCGGCGGAACACCGGCTCAAAGTGAAATCGCGGCGCGCGGGTCCACCCGACAGCGGCTCCTGCCGGATATAGACACGCCCGCGACTACTCTGAGTTGCTAATAAATAGTCGAGTTTCGGCGAATACATCGCGCTAACTTTGTTCGCGCACCGCCGCAGCTTCCAAGTTTGGAAATTGAGTTTGATTAGGAATGTCATTGTTGTTTCAAAGAATTGTGCATCGAGCGGCACGTCTCTTTTTCCCCGATGTACGAAGGAGCAAACTGGATCTACTCACTGACGGAGTTGAGAATGGTATTGTAGAAGGCATTGACAGTGGTGCCGCTGCTGATCCACCGGTTCTTGTCTGGCTTTTCGCGCAGGCTGTTCAGCTGCTTCTTCACGTCCCTGTCCGTCAGCCTGATGTACGTCTCGAACAGGCGACCTTCCAGCACGCTGGCCTGATGAAAAGCAAGCGAGAGCATGACTTCGCGAAGGTAAAGTATCATCTAGATAGGCTGTAATTTAATAGCGACTGCGCCATCCCTCGGCGGCCCGAGCTTAATGGGGCAGCGCAGACTGCGAGGGGGCAGCCGCTTTTTTTTTCTCGCGTCGACACTCACGTTGCTGTAGAACTTGTCGAGCTGGTCGCGCTCGGCGATCCACTCGGGGAAGCCGACGAACGGCCGCATGGCGTGCAGCTTAATGTGTGCCTTGGTCCGCGTCTTCACGTCCATCCAATCCAGTTCCGACACCATGCTGTCGAAAGCCGCGCGCACGTCCATCAGCATTTTCAATGCCTGTCGATTTCATAATGCGCGTTTATTTCGGCTCTCGTTTTTGCGTCGAGCGAGGGCACCGCGAAGCTCGCTCGTACGTTCTTTCATTCAAATTGCATTTTAGTCCGCGGTGTCGTCCATCGGAAACCAATGCGGGCGCAGTCGCGATCCAGAAGAACAGAAGCAGACGCGGCTCTGATCCCGCACGCATGCACCGCCATAAATAACGACTAGGAACCGGTTTCTTTTTCTTTTTGTTCCATTTTTTTTTGTATTCGGCATACCTTCTCACGAGATTCCTCGTCGAAGTGCTTCTTCACGTACACGTAGCTGAGCGCCATGCCGAACTCCGAGTTGACGTTGCCACTGCACCTCTTCCACAGTGGCAGCTTCTCCTTCAGGCCGAACACCTTGCGGGAGAACTCGAAGCCCAGGTCGCGGAAGCGCTGCAGCGTCAGCGGGGCTATCGTCGAGTACACGCTCCACCATGCCGCCCGCGCTGCCCAATCAAAAACAGCACGCAAGCTTTTCACTTTCCAATGCGCACCGTTGGACGCCGGTGCCCCGGCGAAGTGCACGGCAGGTCGCGCGGACGACTTTGCCCCTGAACATTTTCAGCGATCGGAAGATCTCGCGCGATAACAAATGCCACCGCGAGCCGAGTGCACTGGGCGCGCACGGTTTCATCCTCGATAATGCACCCCTCCGCGCAAGTTTACTCGCGAATACACACATTCGTTGGCCAGGCGCAAGACTATTTGTCTAATTGTCTTTTGAGTCTTGGCGCAATATTATTCCTATGCGATACGACGATATGCTTAAACATTAAAAGTAGTAAGTCTTAAAAAAAAACAAAGAGTTCATAGTTTAATTCCATTCTGGGATGGAAGCCCGCAACGCAAGATTTTTCTTCGAAATATCTCGGCCAGCATAAATACCTTAGGTGGTGAAAGGGGGGAGGGGAGGGACCCCGAGTAGAAAAAGCCAAACAACAGCTCGTTCTTCGTGCATCGCGAAGCGCGCTCCTCTCGAAACAGCTGATCTCCCAGCCGTCAGTGGCGCTAGTCGTCGTGTCATGTATATTCCCAGCGAGAGAAAGAGAGAGAGAGAGAGAGAGAGAGAGAGAGAGAGAGAGTGGGAGAGAGAGAGGGAGAAACAAAGACAGAGCTGGCATTGTTGCCGTCGGAGAAGGGGCAAATAAAAAAGAACCCGAATGTTTGTGTGCTGTGTTTTTCTCCGTCTTGTTCTCGCTCGCTCGCCTGCGCCTGACGCACTTGCTGTGCACACAAATACGTCTCCTCGCTAATAACTATGTTGTTCGTGTGAGAGAAACGAGTAGTAGTGTATATTGTGTTGTTGCAATTATGTTTGCATGTAAGTAGTCGTAGTCTCGTATACGTTATAACGCCTGCGCGTACAGGGAGACTAAATAAAACAGTGGGGAAAAACTCTGTGCGCACGTATGAGGTTATGTTGTGGTAAGGAAATTCGCGATAAGATTTTTTAAATACAGACACGTGCATAATCGTGGACGATATTGGATCAAAACAAAACGTTCGTTGCGACGCTGGATCGAGCGCTCCACTCGTTACGTTCCAAAAGTTATAGTTTGTGAATCTACGATACACACGCACACGCACACGCACACACACACTATATATATATATATATATATATATATATATATATATATATATATATATACATATATGTGGCTACTCATTGATTTTTTTAGGTATTGTCGAAGAAAGCTATTGTATTTTTTTATTAAAAATAGTAATGTTATGTCTTGGTGAGATAGTAGTGTTGGTTTTTTGGTAATGATTGTTTTACTTATTGTGGATTGTTGTGTGCTTTTAAAGTTCGTTGTTTTTGCTTTTCATGTGTATGTACGCAGCTAATATGTCGCGCAAGAAAACTAGGTTATATTGTTCACACTGTTGTATAGCTGCACTGGAGTAAACAATCAAACTTGCGATAAAAGCTCCGATACAAAAATATTAATCTGTTCGATGAAATTTGTTAATTAAAAGTGGTACTGTACGCATGATATTTACACTGTTTACGAATAGATTAATTCCATTGTACACATTGTAATATACTCATTCATGGTATAGCCAGCAAGTTGGATGTAATTCCGTAGCATTAAATATTCTCTTTGCCGCGAGATAAGTAAAAAAGATCCCATCAATGCTCGCTAGTCTCTTTATTCCTTTGTCAGATAAGAAAAGCACACGTGAAAAAAAAAATGCATTATTCATGGCTTAAAGGTGCAAAAAGTTTATTCCCGATTCAAGTTCGCACAGCACGTGCGACAATCATCGCGCTCCCTCTGAAGTCTATAGACCTCTGTTTTATGCCTTTGATTTCGCGTTTTATCGAGACGTTTGACGAAGACGTCCGATCGATTCCCATATACACGCATACGAAAACTTTTTTTACCTTTCAATCGGGACTTCTCTTATACTTGTTCTCTATGTGGTGTCACTTTCTTTTCGAGTCGGCTGTTTGATCGTTTTTGAACATTTTGCATGTTATATTGCCTCAAAAGATATAAAATCTTCATTAAACATGGATTTGATCCAGCTAGACGATCGTATAAATCTCCACGCCACGCGCTAAAGCCTGACATTATCTGCGCGCGACTGTTGAAATAAATCGTTAGCCTTGTCGCCAGCGAAAAACGTCAGTAAATAAATAGACGAACGCAATCTTGACTATCGATTCCCGGAGAAAAACTGTCGATCAAGCCGCTTGGAAAATCGACGCCGATCGTTTTCATTATTTTCGGCAAAAGACTGAGCGCCTCGTTCGCGTGAAGCTCAGTGTAAAATTTTTTCTCTGCGAATAACGTTGCTGCAGGCCATGAAAAAGTTTCTTATTTCGTGTCGCGACGGCACTTCCGATGGGATGGCTGTGATAAAATAAAGGAGTCGCGTGCGCGCGAGTTTCCGGCTCATTATGCATTTCGAGGGCGGAATGAAGAATGAGAACCTTTGAGTTACATTGATGTTCTTTTTGTTCTTCGCGACGCTGCCGTGGCCTCCTTTTTTCATCGCGTAAGAAAGGATAGCACAGGTTAGCTTTTTAAAAATTTACATCGCGTTGAATCATTTCTGTCTGGCTGTGCTTGTGTAATTTAGCTAGCGTTTGCGTTGTTTGCCGTTGTTTACTGTACGACAAATAAACTTACTACGATAAATGTACGGGTTTGCATTACAGATAACACCACTTCTAATCCCGATCTAACTGAAATTGGGATCGTCGAGGAAGAAATTATCACTCACGATAAATTCTTGAGTAAGCTAAAACAAAATAATAATAATCCCAGAAAAATTCACTAGACATTGCTCTTACGTTTTTCGTTTGCCTAGGCAGTGGATCTATCGAAAAAAGACATGACTTGTGTGATGAGTTGGTCAACATTTTGAACAATGAAGTGGCGCTAGAAGTGCGAGGTAGCGGTACGTGATATTTGTAGAAAATACTCTTGACATTGCTCGGTCAAATTGTTAATTGACTCGAATGTTTATTCACAGATTCTGAAGGCATGAGTTGTAATAGTTCGGTCTTCAGCTACGATCACGACCGTGGTCACACGTCAACGAGAGACACCGATTCTCCCAACTACGGAGAGGCATTCACTCCTCCGACGCCAGGTAGAAACTGTCAAGATTCGATATTTGATATATCAAAAGAAAGCCATCGATTGACCCACGATATGAATGTTTTTTCAGGAAAACCAAAACGCAAACGCCGAAGGAAAGGCAGTCCGAGTCCCGAACCAAGAGTGGCTTCCTTGAAATACAAGTGTCTAAAGTGCAATAAACGCTACAAAACTTTCTACGCCATCAACAATCACGTGAAGAGTAAGTGTTGCGTTACCCTCAAACGTTATTCCGGGAACAACAAAATTCAGGTGTTGGTGAGCGAGGGCGACAAATACGATATCAAGGAGAGCGAAATCGCTGCCCAAATCGACGATCGTTCAATCACCAAACTGACACTCTGTCCGAAATGTGGCGAAGTATGCGCAGACATAAACGAAATAGATCAATGCAATCCACGCAAAGTCTTTCAATGTTATTGTCGCACGTTTAAGAGTCATCATAGGAACAACTTGAAATTTCACATTCAAACTGAGCATCCTATGTCAGATCTCACCGAACAGGAACTGGACGACACTTTGATGAGTTATTGTTCGATAGAAGATTCTCACGATATTTACGAGCACAAGATCGATGTCCAGCCCAAAGAAATTATTAATGGTAAACGCGAACATCTACGTTTTTACGAGAAAATTGGAGAGTACGTAAAACTAAAATATATGCGTGACTTTATCGTTGCAGACAAAATCCAGATTTACTGTCGTGGCTGCGACTCGGTACTCGACGCCGCTCGAGTGCACAGCAAGCGCAACAACTGCTACTACTGTGTGAAGCCATTATCCTATCGCTGTGCGAATTGCAAGCGTCAATACTCGAACTCGAGCGCAGTGCACAACCATTTACGCTACGAGTGCAATAACCAGCCTCAATTCGGCTGCCCGCACTGCGAGTATCGTGCCAAGCAGAAAGGCAATCTCTTGGCTCATATACAGAGGAAACATACAGCTAAGGAGTGCGCTGGTTGTGGACTCAAGTTCAACGACAATGTTTCCCTTAGGATGCACATGTCCACTCAATGTCGGACCGAGACTATGCTCAGATGTCAACTTTGCACTTTTACTTGTAATTTCATCACGAAAATGAAAGAGCACGTTAGGATTGAACATAAATCGAGATATCAATGTCGGCAATGCGGTAAAAAATATAAGAATTACAAGTCGTTGAAGAGCCACGAGAATGCTTGTGGCTCAAAAGCTGACTTCCAGTGTGAGTATTGCGATTATAAGACTACTTACAAGGTCAGGATTCAGGCTCATTTACAGACTCGTCATCCTGAACTTGCTTATGCTTAGTTGTAACGTACGATAAGCACGGCGTTGATTTGAATATTGAAATCGTTTTCTTTTTTACGAGTATTGATTGGAACACAACGGTCAAATAATTATTAATTTACAAAAAGACAAAGAAAAAAAAAGATAAAAAGCAATTTCTATGAACATTGATTGTGAAACTTGGTTGGTATCCAACGATTTTATTTGAGTAGAGTGATGATTACAAAGCTCAAAAATCATTTATTTTCATGCGTTTTTTATATCTTTATTAAGATAAAGTTGATCTATATGCTTCATATGTGATTGTAACGTATGCAACTATATCAATGAAATATGAAACTTCAATAGATTAAATAATTATGTCAAGATGTTCGTAGAATAATTTTCTTGATCAACTTTAATTTAGCAAGAGACATTCGACACAAAAATCTCGCTTCATTTAATGAAACGGTGAATCTGAGAAAAGAGAATAGTTATCAATCATAAGCGTGAAAAGGCACTTGTTTTTTTACACGTATCCTCGGTGAAATACGAAATACTCTCTCTAAGAATATTATATTTTAAAGAATGTAAATGGTAAAAACGTTGGAAATTTAATATAATTTACTAATTGGTTTTATGGTGGTTAGTTTTTAAATATAATATATAGAATATACTTACGGCAATTTATGATATTTTGCTAAAAGTGCAAGTTGTATTGATATTATATTATATTGAATGATTTTTAATAACATTTTTTATGTAACAAAGTTGCGTCATCATATTATTCTTTACCTGACTTTTTTTTTCTTATCATATTCCGCGGATTACGTAAATTAAATGATCAATTTTTTTTCGAATTGAATGCAAGCGACATTCATCCTTTCTATTACTGCATGCTATAAGCTGCCTATTCTTCGAAGAGCTTATTATCGACGCTGGACGTTACGCGGAATAAAGATCCTTTCAAATTTTTTGTATCATTTTTGGATTTATGATGACTTTGATCCTGTATCAGCATTGACACGCAGAAAAAGATTAAATTTAAAAAAAGTAATTTAAAAACTCGGATAAAATTGAATTTCTTGATATTCTATTTTATTCGAACATAAAAATCCCATTTAATATACCATGACTTTCTATATTGCAAGCCCCTTTTCTTCGAATTCAAATAGATCCCTCTCCACTTGGAATTTCACCGTCGATATCGCAAGGAGCGAGTTAACTGCACAATGCCTCCATCGATACTGCAACTGCGATAGGCAGTTCTACTTCTATAAGTGAGTATTTAGATGAAAGGGAACATGAAGTTGGTAATATCATTTTATAAATATCATTTTTAATTGTAAGTCAAGTTTTCGATAGAAAATTCATTTGACCTGTTTCAAAGAATCAATTTGGAAAAAAGATATTTGATTGGAAAGTTACGTATAATAAACTCTATTTCATGTGAGTTTCCATTATGTGATTTAATATACAAATAAAAAACAGTCAAATTGATTAAACCAGACCCGGCAACACATCAACAAATTGCATGTATATCTCGTAATCAGCTTAAGTTATTTCGCGGTCAAGTTTGTTATTATTTGTGAGACGCTGTTTGCGCCGTTAACCTCAGTTGCTTTTCGTTTTTCTTCGTGCGTTGATACACAAATAAATACCGAACGTGCTTAGCTTAGTTACGTTACTACTACTGCTACATATAGACTTGCCTGTATCTAGCAATCACAGGCAGTCCAGTATCCAGTACCAGCACTCAGCAGTGTATTTTCGTCTTTTGCAATGCCAGGACATATGCGTTTCTTATTTCGTCAGTGTGTGTTTGTCGTAAGGGCAAATTGTAATTTTATACTCATTACCGCGTAGTGACTTACAGTTTTCCTTTTCAAGATCGAATAGGGTTGCAGTTCAAGAAGATACCCTAAATCAAATGAATATTTATAGTTTACAATGGAATGGGAAAAACTTATGTGAAAATTCGCATCAAAATTTTGTGGTTAAAGTTCATCCTGAAATTTTTTATACGATGAGAAAGAGGAATAATTAACAGCATATTTCGATAATCCAATGGTTAGGGTAATCAAAATAACGAAGATTGCATTAGATGAATATGTATGTGAAATAAAGATGTGAAATGTGGGAGTTTGAAATCGACGGTATCTTGGTTCCACTGAAAGCTTTTTCATGCACGCGGACTTGTGCGGGTTCCATGTGTACGTTGTACAAGCTATAAACAAAAGACTTCTAATTGAAAAATGCGAAATGTGTAACTCCAGAGACACTTATATATGAAAAGCGAGCTCATCTTTCAGTTTCCAATGTGTGTTAAAAAAAACATCCATAAGAAGATAATGTAAACATTGATTATTTGTACTTTAATCTTGAACGATAATAAATAGTTTTTAGGAAATGCAAAGAAGAAAACAAAATCATAACTGAAAGTTATGGTTTCGTATATTTATTTTTTGTGTGATAATAATAACAATTGTGAAAAATGTGTGCACGGCTCGTTTATGTAAAAAGTTGTATTACTTATGGAGTTCATTGTTTAATTGTCAAGTTCAATAACTTGTTAGTTTTGACTGTGTTTTTATTTATTTAATTATTATTCTTGTAACAAGTGTTTCCAACACTCTTGAAAATGTGACAGGTAAAGATTCATTGGTGTCAACAGTGATTGGTACGATAGTGACGGAATTCTGTCGATCTTTTTATCCATATATTGTGTCGCGTGCTCGATTATTAATTTTCTTACATATTAACGAAGTAGAGAAAGCCTTTCAACTTTTGTTGCAAAGGTATCACATTGTAACTGCCACTGAAACATGTAGCCAGTTCGGTACTTTTAAAATAATAGATTAGTCAATAATTTTTGCTGCCCTAGTGTAACGTCATATCTATATTTTTAAATACGGTAGTTCTTGATTCCTCTACTCGAAGAGTTACGACCGATAGTAAAATGCAATTATGTAGCATTTTCTGCATTGTGTTTCAGAGAAACGGTTTTGCAAAGAGAGCAACTGAAAAAGTACGTCCCGTGAGTGATGATTCTCCAATAAAGTACCTTTAATGCCATTTGTAAGTAAAAGATTACAGCTTTAAATGTTAAAAGTGCGATTTGAGTGCATATGCTTTTTCGGTACTTCTTGCACGATAACTCAATTTACACCGATGCTCGGGAAAGCTTGCGTGCTTCAAATCTCGTTCCTCATACGTCGCATGGAAAAATAAAGTTACACACGTGTGCGAGAAAGTGATTTCAGCCTCACGTGGATCCTTTACCCTCGTTTCACTCAGGTGCAAACGTCCACGTGAGACTTTAATCACTTTCTTGCACAAAAATTGAAATGTATTAAATTACAAGCATCAATTTGCAGATCTTCAGGATGATACATACTCAATTAATCATAGCAAAACTAATAACATTGATAAATCGCTCGGCGAAATCAATAAAAATGATTAGTCAAAGATTATTTTAGAATGCATTGCAAATGCTAATAGTTCAATACAATAATATGAGGAGATTGTTAATAGCAAAATCGATAAATTACAAACTTTTACAGTTGTTGAAAATGTCAACAATTATCGTGAAAATGCACTTGTTACTAGAAAATGTAATTTCGATGACATTGAATAAGGTAAATATCACATCTATGAAAGCACATAGAAAGATTTTATGTATCTAAAGCAGGTCGTAATTGTCAGGAAACATTTGCGGATGGTGCTACACTTAAGTAAACAATCATGCGAAAATGTCATCTATTAAACTAGATGTACACAATATTTTCCGTGTAATGGTAGCGATGGTCGAGTTAAGAATATGCGAAAGGGTAATTGTTAGAATCCGGGCGTCGAAATAAAGCAAATAAGTTAGATAACAAGTGTCTTTATAAAGTGTAAGACAGAGCTCCTGAGAGGTATCCGCACGGAACGACGTTCGTTCTAGACTGAATCGTCGCTCTGTGATGATTCTCCGTATCTATACCCTTTATTAGCAATAAGAACGTATGTCAGAAAATACATAGTTTACATTAGAAAATACATTAGGAAAGCGATTACAATTAAAAAATATATAGTTTACATAGTATGATTTAGTGCTAAGAAATAACCGTCTGAGCATGGAAAGAAGCATCTGAGTAAATAACAAAAGGGGAAAAAAAAGGGGAAGTGCCCTGGACCCTGCTACAAGAAGTCGATGCAGAGGTATTTAGGTTTCTATTTTCTTACATTTACTTTATTTCGTAAAGGCGCATACTGTCTTATTCGACACATGTAGTCCGTAAATGTTGCCTGCTTGAAACTCGCAATCATTCGCGAATGAATATTCACGTTAAAGTTGAACATAACACAATTCATATGTGTAAATATTACGGCAGTACACATAAATCGTATGTCTATGAAGAAACACAAATGCGCTAATGTATAAATGACGTGAGTAATAAAAAGTATACTTTGATATTTTTATGCATATTAGTAACATATTAGTATATGTTACTAATATGCATAAAAATATTATGTTTTGTAAAACAATTAAAACATGCAAAATTATATAGATGATAGATTGATGTTTGAAAATCTGTAACAAATTTAAATAAATGCGATTTATAAAATAAATTTTAAAATACATTGTAGAATGTATTTATGATTTCTATTCAAGATTAAGATTTTTAATCGTTATTTACGATGCATTATTTTTTAATTATATCGTATTATATTATATTGTCCTGTATTTCACTTCTCACTTGAAAATTTTTGATTATTAAAAATAATTAATTTTCACTTATAGAAAATCGAGAGAAGATACAAGAGCATACGGCACAGAATATTTTATTACTGATTGAATATTCGATGTATTATTGCTAAAATTACTATGAAATTGCTGTTTGAAAATAAATTATTTGTATTAAATGATAATAATTCTTGACTCTCTCTCTAAAAAAAAATATAAATAATAAAAATTAAATAAATAATATAAATAATATAAATAATATAAATATATAAATACTATAAATAATGTAAATAATATAAATAATATAAAATTAAACCTTTTAATTTAACTGATAAAATATTTACTTTTTTACTTTACAGACTACAATAGTAGAGATAGTTCAAGGCCTCATTCCGTCGATATTACTAGATAAGTGCCTTGGCTATCACATATCCGAAAATATTTTCAGCATAAGTAAATGTGTTGTATTTTCTTTTTAAAAGACAAAAATTTATTTATTCCTACATTGTATATTTTAAACGCATTTGAAAATGATCTTTCCATTGAAATTGGAAACAAAATTCAGTAGATGCACCGGAATGTCCGTAGAACACTTTTGAATCTGGGAAAGTGTTCGAAAATTCTTTTCAGAGAAGAAACAGCACGAAACCACGTGGTCCAAGAGCCAACGCAGCACCGCCCCGAGGGTCATAAAGACAGAAGAAAGTAGGGACACAGGCTCGTCATCTGGCGATCTTTTTAAGTAAACCAGTCACGCGCTTCCGTCTAAGAAACATGACGTTCGGGCATTGAAATCTTCACTTCCAGATTAACTCAAAATCAACGCGTCCATTCGACAAAGCCTTCGATTTTTCAAAATAATTTTCCTAACGAGGCGCAGTGTAAATAGTGAACGTTGCACGTGTTTAAAAATGGAATGCATTCTCAAGATTTCTATCTCGTGAGATCTGTTAACCAAGCAATGCCTTATCGCCACACACGCTTCTCGTCTCAGTATCTCAGTCACTTTCGAACCGCCGTCGCGTCCAATGTTGTCGGGTATGGTACAGTGATTCGTGCATGTGTATTATCTGATTTGGATTGCATAAATCGTTATACACAATAATATTTGTTTTGAAAATCGTTATGAAGAAATCACGCATCATGCGGGAAAAATGATGTGATAATAGTGGTGAGTGTGAGAAAGCGAGCGAATGTTTTTTTCTTTTCATTTCTTTTTTTAGAAAAGAGCGGATGTCAAGAGTGGGGATTCATCCCTCAAAAATAAAAAGCGTTCCTCAGCGTCAGTTCTAAGGAAGACCCGGCTGTGTGACGATGCAGTATGCTCCTTGTCTTTTAATTGGCCATTGTATTAAGCAAAGCGGACTACTAGATTATAAGAAATTAGTCTGTATTTGAACTAGGAATAATAATCTTGACTATTTACAATATTGTTCATGCACATTTCATTTCCTATTCTATCGCCTTGACTTAATAAATCCCATAATAATAAGACTTACAGGATTTTGCGCTTCTACAATGAAGGATTCAGCCTAAACTGTTTCTGTTTTCAAAATAAAAAACTGTTAGAAAATCACAAAGTATTTTTTTCTTTCGATCCTTCTCAATGTTTAAATATTAGACTCGGCTTAGTTATGCTTTGTAGTCTGTTGTAGTTTTTATGGATATCGTTGATTTGTAATGGCTTGATTGTGACTATTTTTTATGGAATAGTACTAATTTTTATTTCACTTGTGTTTATTGTAGAAAACTATTCAACAGACGTCGAGGAAATTACCATTGTCAAAGAGGAACTTACTTCTTTTGAAGATTCAAATTTAGTGGATGTGTGCACTATTGGTAAGAACTTTATATTATAAAATAAAATATACAATTAGAAACTTTGTCATCATATACTAATTGGTATTTAAAAATTTATCAAAATTGTTGATGTGTAATAGTTATTTATGCGTCAACAGCGATCGAGTGCCATTACACCGGGGGAGGAAATGTTTTCAGCGCGGAATAGTATATAAGAGCTGAGGTATAGCGAGCGCCGAGGTTTTTTCTAGCGATGCAAACATTTTTTTCTCCGGTGTGATGCCGATACTTTAAAAATTTTCGATTTCTGGCAAGGCCATACGAGGGTTTTTAGATGCCAAGAACAATCGGTCGGTAAATGAATCGTATACGACGCAACTACACACAGTTTATAATATATTAAGTATAATAAATAATATTTTTGTTTTTCAAGTCTTTTATTAAGAACACTATCGATACTATTGAAACGGCTGGAACAAACATGTGCTGTCAAAACCATGCCTTTGTCGCGTTAAAGCAAAACTACTATTCCTTTAGCTAACTTACGCCCCAAGTGGTAAGTGTAAGTTTCACTGGTGGGTGAGTCATCCTCCAGTGTAATGAATGCCCTCTTCTGCCTCCTCCTAGTATTATAACATTATTTCACTAGGAGGAGCTGCTCGCGCGTAAGGGATCCATGTACCGATGGGATTATGTTCTGTAGTTAAAAACCCGAATACGGCCGCCTGCAGAGAAAATCTAATTTGTTGGGTTGAGTAAATTAACTCAAGATTTATTTTATTACGCAGATGATATCGACACTAGCTCAAGACCCGACTTTAAAGAAATTATTATTAACTCAGACTCGGATGATGAATCATATATTGAAGTGTGCAGCAGTGGTTCGTATTACAACTTTTCAATGTTAACTATATTAGCATGCAATATCATTGTAAAAAAATTTTTTTTTTTCTATAAATTGAAGGCGAACACGAGGAACGCGATTGCTACGTCAAAGACAAATATCAAAATAGTCAACTATCGGAAACCGATTTAAAAATAAATGTGGCTATTGAGAAAAATAATGTAGATAACATCAATAAAGGTTGTTGTTATTTTTTTATAAATGATTACGATTTGTTCAATAAAATTTTGAATATTTATAGGTTCCTTTGTTACTCGTCGAACAAATAATTTCCGTGAGTTGAGATTTTTATTTGTGTAAATTTATTAATTTGTAGAAATTATTAAAAATGTGTTCATTAATTTTTAGAAACAACAAATAAATACCAAGTTTATTGTTCTAACTGCGATAAACTGTCACCGAAAATTGCTGGAAAAAAGATGACTACGTGTCAAGTATGCAGCAGACATTTGCGTTACGTGTGTGGAAAGTGCAGCAAACAATTTTGTGTTTATATAACTTTATATTTGCATTTAAAAACAAAATGCTTTGCTGATGAATCGCTGGTTAAAAGTGGGAAAGAAGTACAAATTAAACAAAGATTTCGTGAGTTCTAGCTAGTATTTTATTATGAATTACTATATGAAAAACACCATAACTTTATCATTTGGTTCATATTCATGTTATTTATGTATAGGCTGGAAAGATTTATATGAGTTGTATTGCTCAAAATGTGATAAAAGTATAAACGTATTTGTCCGTGGTCACGTAAATTATTGCTACGTGTGCCAAAGTTCGTTAGTATATAAATGTTTACAATGTCAAAAGCGGCATAATAAATACATAAACATGTATCTCCATTTGAAAAACAAATGCTCTCCAAGTTCATTATTAATTAATCAAAATGTTTCATTAAAATACCACGGCAATCAAAGTGTCGCAGCGATTGATCAAAAAATTGAAGGCAAGAATCACATTATTTGCCACATTTGCCAAGAAACTTGTATAGACGCAAATGAAATTGAATATTGCCAAGGACAACAAGTTTTTCAATGCTATCATTGTTCTTTTACATGCTGTCATAAAAGTAATTTCAAGCACCACATTTTGAAGCACAGAGTACTCAGCAATGAGCAACTCTTCCCATTCTCTTCCTCGATGAAGAATGAACGCGAATGTTCAATGTCAATAAACTGTTCAACGAAGGCCGACGTTGAAAATATAACATCTACATCAGATATTTTGGAAAGAATAAAAGGTAAAATACATCAGTACTGAAAATAATTTATAGAAAAGCTTAATGTACTTATAGTGATACCTTTTTTTTTATAGATAACATTGAAATACATTGTACTGGTTGCAAAGAATATTTTAGAATAGGAAATATCTTTGAAAGACAAGGAAATTGTGAGAAGTGTAAGATAGCGTTATCTTACCGATGTGCTGTATGTAAAAAAAGTTATTCCACTGTAGAGTTAGCTCGAAATCATTTTAATTGTGAATGCAATAGTTCACGCCAGTATGAGTGCCATCATTGCGGATATCGAGCGAAACAAAAGGGAAATTTGTCGATGCACATACAAAGAAAGCATACGGTTAAAATATGTTCTGGATGCGGAAAGAATTTTTATAATACTATTGAGCTTAGGTCTCATAAGCTGCGAAAATGTAGAATTGATGCTCCATATAGATGTAAAATATGCTCATTTAAATCTTTTTACATAACTCGACTGAAAAATCACGTTAAAAAGAGTCATAATTCAATGTACCGGTGTAAAGCATGCTATAAGAAGTATACCAATTTCAACTCGTTGAGAAAGCATGAAAATACTTGTAGCTTAAAATTAAATTTTAATTGCGATCATTGTTTTTACACAACTACAGTTAAAGTTAATTTGGTACATCACTTTAAAGTTTGCCATGACCTGTACAATTGACTTATTCAAATTTCATCTTTAATATTTAAGTAATCAATTATTTTTCATTTCAAGTTCATTAAGTGGGATGAAATCTTTTTATCGTTATCATAAAAAGTTAAAATGAGTTATAGTGTTTATTGTACCAATTTTTAAATGTGAAATAAATCAAGAATATAGATTACAATTACAGTTAACAAACACCAGTTATTTCAGAAAATTTCCATATTATGTATGTAAGATTTCTCCAAACTCAGGAACTTTTTATTTTTAATTTAGGAGCTACGACGGCTCTACAAATAGGAGCTCAGGACTCTGTACAAAAGGTTGTAAGTTCGACATCTGAAAATTTTCATAGATGAAATTTTAATATGCTTCATGGTTCTTACCGTAAATCTTGGTGGTTCGGATTCCAACTTGAACTGTATATCAATATTTGAACCATCATTGTCTGCAAAGTGAAATATCCAGTCATGATGCATGTAAAATTTCTCCTCCCACACTCCAAAAGTGGTGGGAAAGCTGGTTGCATGTACTTTTCAGGACTGCAGGGAACACTAATGCCTACAGGTACGTAGTGCATCCCTGCAACGCTCGAAATGAACGTAAATCTTGAAGTAACAATAACAATAACGACAAATAGTCTTTCTTCAGTTTACATAAAAGTATGCTTTAAAACTATTTCAGGAAAAATAAATTTTGTTGATAATAAGGAATAGCCTATTCATTTTGATAAGTAAAATTTTAATTACGTATATATTTCTACAGGAAATTATTTGATTATATACGATTATTTTCTTACACTTTCAATTTCTAAATAATATGCTTCTCTTTTCGTGCTTGAAAAACGGTATCCAAGTCTACAAATTCAAAGCGTTTTCAAATTCTAAGAACAGATAAATTGTCACTGAAAGAAGTAAAAAAAAATCTTAGACCTCTACTCTAAAGACGGAAATAAAAGTCATAAAAATGCAGATTTATACGAAGGGACTGGAATCTCGAAGGGCCTTGGGTTGGAGAAAGAAACTGTGGAACTATTAGTTGAGCTGTGTCCGAGCAACGATGCACACCTTTAATGGCTGTGTGGACAGCTCGTATTTGTAAGCGAGTTGAGTAACTACAAATGTTCGTTTATTTATTTATTAATTTATAACAAAAATTAATGTGTTGGTTCCGCCGAATCTAAGAATTTTCAACAAAATCTCGTTGACTTTGTCTCATTGTATAAAGCATATTATATTTATGCCTCTCAAGATATTTTTTGCTGAATCCTTTTAAAATTGTCAAGTGAATAATTATCTGCATTGCTCATGTTCGCAGGAATAAAGTGATTCGCATGCGGTAAGCAGTGTGCTTTTCCATATTATTTCGGATTAACGAACTGCAGCAAAACATTTCATTTTCTGAAGATTAATCGAATTAATGTAAAGTATCGTTTGAAATAAAACGCAGTTGCAAAACTTGAAAATATTGATTTCATTGTTTTTCATTGACACACCCGAAAAAATACACGTTTAAAATAAGAATTACTATTTGGTTGGTTTCGTAATTTTTGAAAAATATAACTGGAAGAACGATTTTGTTTCAGGTTATTTTCACTTTCGCTTACATTGAATTATAACTTTTTTACCTTTTTTTACAGATAGACAATCAAAAGCTGCTGGAAATGAGATTTACAACAACAAAAAAATATTATTTAACCGAATGGTATTAATATGTGTTCTATTGGTATGTTTTAGATACTTGCGTGACCACATAAAACTAAAGCATTGTTACAAAAAACAATACAGAAATATCATGAAACAGATGGAAGTGTACTGCTTGAAATGGCTTAAAATGAACAATGGATATATGACTCTGAAATTGATATGCAAACACTATAATAGTTCGTACAAATCTGAAAATGGACCTCGACGCCACATCGACCGAGCACACAGTCAATCAATGCGTTGCATGTCTAAAGCAATTTCCGAATTTCGCTCATCTCAAGAATACCAATGGCACCAATGTAGTATCGATTCCCTATTTGAATGACAATATTGCTCGTCGTTGTTATTTAGAAACCGCATTGAAAGTCCATATTGACCGAAATTATGAAGCTAAATACATATACACGAATTTTTATAGTAAGTATACGAAGCTTCGAATATTGATGGATCACGAAGACAAGTGCGGTGTAATACCATTCGAGTATCATTACTGTCCTTTTAAAACTACAACTAAAAGGTATTTGTACAAACACATGGAGCAATGTAAACTAAAATTCAAATATTTCTAGAAACAAAGTTACTTTTAATCTTAACCATTTATTTCGATAATTTTTATGCAAGTACTTTTAATCAATTTCCAGCGAAACACATACGTCGTATCTAATGCACCTTCTTGCATTTTTTATGGATCAACAGTTTTTAGCCAAATTTTTTCATCTTATCCATCAAGAATAATGTCAATGTAAAATACCATTTGAAATAAAATGTTATTATAAAATAATAATAATAATAATAATAATAATAATAAAATAACAATAATCTTTTATTCAGCTTTTTATGAACAAGCTGAAGTTTGTAAGAAATGCATATTTAATTAATAAGATTTGTTCAAAGTTTATAAATGCTTTATTTAACATATTTTTTATAGCCTCGTATTTTTGAATTTAATAATTACTTACTTTTGTTGCAGAGGCGCAATCAAATACTGTCGGAAATGGTATTCTCGTTAAAAAGGAAATTACTCTTCAAGATGAGTCGGATTTTATTGATATCTGCACTATTGGTAAATTTATTTTACTGGAGGATTTCAGATTAATTGAGAAATTTATATGTGATGTTTAACTTTGCAGATGACGATGAAGCTGGTTCAAATATTGATTTTCATACAACCGTTTTCGTAGAATCAGACTCTGACAGTGATTTTTACATCGATGCATTTGATAGTGGTTTGTACTTGGATTACTTATGTGAATCGCCGATACTAAAATAAAACGTTCTCTCAATTAAAATTCACTTTGTTTTAGATCATGAAGGCGGCAAAGGCGAACATCTTTTACAGACAAAAGAGGTATCGACAATAACGGAACTGCCAGCAGCCGATTTGACAGAGGACAACAAGATCAAGGACAATGCCTTAATCGACATAAAAATCGGTGAGAGCTTTTATGCGATTACTAATATTCTACTGACAATTTTATAATTTTTTAAATAATCGTAGATGTTGCGGTTCCTGAATTACAGAAAAGAGAATTCTCATCGAATAATGATGATATTGATGCAGTCTTAAATAAAAGACGAAAAGGATCAAGACATTTTAGTAAGTATGCGGTGTTCAATCTTCATTTATTTATCGAGTTATAACAATCGACGTCCGCTAGAAAACAAATGGATCTTTAATTTCCAGACACAAACGGCTTGTATCGACATTACTGCTCGCAATGCGATAAACGAATCGACAAAATTGCTGGTTTACGAATGAAGAATTGTACAACTTGTAGAAGCAGATTGAAATATGAGTGTATCAAATGTGAATACCAATGTCGATGTATTCAAAGTGTAACGATGCACTTAAAAAATAAATGTTTTCAAAATTTAGTACTTGGTGGTCGCGATGAGAAAAAAAATCCGGTTATGGGTGAAGTCGAGGTGTACTGCGCTCCGTGCGATGTAATATTCAAAACAAATCATATTGGTAAAAAACGGTATAATTGTAAAAATTGTCACGAATTATTGTCTTATCGTTGCACCATTTGTAAAAAATGTTATTCTTCGTATCACTCCATGTACACTCATCGATCTGAGGGGTGTAATAATATCCCGAAATTCATTTGTGGACACTGTGGCAATCGGTATAGACAAAAAATGTATCTTCAAAATCATATAGAACGGAACCACACTATCAAAACATGTCTTACCTGCCAAAGAGAATTTCCGAATGTTAAAGAATTCCGAGAGCACAGATTGGTAAAATGTGACGAAGATGCCCTGATTAAATGTCGGTACTGCCCAAATGGTTTTTATTATGAAACTCAATTGCAAAGACACGTTATCCAAGAGCATAGGGCTAAATATAAATGTCAGAAGTGTGACAAAAAGTATAAAAACTTCAACTCATTTTTCAATCACGAGAAAACGTGTCGTTTTATGTCGTAATTTGAGTGAGGTCATTGTTTTTTTACTAAACACAAGGGGAGTTTGATCCAGCATCATAAATGTTGGAAAAAATCATGTTCTTTGTTGCTTTATTGGAAGTGAAAAAATTTCAGGTTCATTGATAAAAGGTAGTCATAAAAATGAAGAAATTGTAATTATTAAGTTTTAAGTATTTAGCCATATGCAAATAACAGCCTCAGAGATACGAATACATCGCCAATATGTGTTATTTAATGTAAAAAGTGGACCAAGTATTAATAAAAATTGTTATTGAATTAATTCTACAATAATTACTGATGCCCTACATTTAATTCTTAAAAAGATTATTCATTATGAGGTTTGATATAATTATATATTATTTATAAAAATGAGTGTATAATTGTTAAAGAACGATATGCTCTTACTTTTGTTCGCAAATATAGATGTAGTATATTGAATTGATAAAAGTATCGCGTTAACTTGAAATAAAATCAATGAATACGGATGCGAATAGAGTAATGGACTGAATTAGCGATTTTGATCTTGCCTTGCCAGTGTTAGCTTTTTTAAAAACAGGTTTTTAGAAATGATTATCTTTTGGCTGTTCTAATTTATTAGCGTCGATCCCTGCGGCAACATCTCTTTAATAGCTTATTCGCTCTACTTTAATTCAAAGAGTTCTTTTCTGATTTCATTTGGAAATTGCGATTTAATTATAAATTCAAATCAGATTCAAAAAAATGCATCGGTTTTAGTATTTATCTTTTTTGATTCTTCGACCGTAGATTTGAAATAACATTTAGTCTTATCACGTAGGGCTATAAAGAGATTCAGCAATTATTTGTCTATTTCGAGTGAAAAAATAATATCTAGCCTACCTCACAACAAGAAATCATGTTTGTCGAACACGCGGTGCAAATCCATAGGAGCTCTATTACAATATGAGAAAGAAAGAAACGTAGGCAACTGGCACATAAAAGTATTCATAAAGATTTACAACCCACGCGCCGAGTCTAATGATCAGTCGATTGTGAATGCTATACGTCGTCTTCTTTTTTTAACTTTATCGAGGACGGGTGCATCTAATCATGTTTTAACTATCCGCATACCTAGAACAGAGTAGCTTGATTATAAGTAATTGTCGGGCAGGACGAAAGCCGGCAATTTATAGAGAGAGTCAAAGCGCATGTTTTATGGCATCGAGAAGGAGGGCCTCGGCGGGGAGGGGGGTGGGGGGGGGGGGGGGTGAGGGATAAGGGACCAGAGATGTTTTTCGGATATTTCGAGTCCTTCAATTCGTTTCTTTCGTCCTTTTATGACAGCGGTATTTTTTAAATTCACAGACGGCTACAACGGTGGCGTATTTGGGTGAACGCACGTTAAACCTTTGTACAAAAATCAGATACGTTTTTCCCAAAAACGTTCTATGTCGCGATGCAATTGCACGATTATTCAACTCCTATCACTAACATACATGTACTTCTCTAAGTGTGTGATTGTGTAGTTTTGGCATGCGGTAGGATTAGAACTCCCGCGCACGTGTGTGTACTGCATTCCTTGACGAGCGCGATTGTTACTGAAAACGATTTTTTTTTCATTTTGCAGAACTTCGCATCTACATGGACGCACCTAAAGTGGAAAATGACGAGCTATCGGCAGACGATGCCGGGAATAACAACGGTGAGTTTCAGCGATATTCGGACGGGTATGGCTCACGCGATTTTGATCGATGAAAATCATTTTGATAATTAAAAAGAAAGCTTTTTTTTCATTAATGTAGACGCCGTAGGCTTCGAGACTCATGCTTACCCAGAAACTAATAAAGTTAACGCTAGTGTTTCTGCAAAATCAAATGAATTCGGTACGTCAGTCAGTGGTTTTCATTTGAGTTTGCTCGGGTGATGAAATAATTAGAATTTCATTTCTAGATCATTATCATTTCCACTGTGGAAAGTGTGACAAGTCAATAGATAAAATCCACGGTGTTCGCCATTGCTCGGATTGTCAGAGCTTACTGGAGTACGCATGTGATAATTGCGAGAAACAATACAGAAGTATCCACGGTATTTATAATCACATAAAAAATCACATATGCACTGCAGCTAACAAAAACGTCGCAATAGATGGAAGCGCTGACGATCAGATTGGGAATGTTGAAGGTAACAGTGATGAAATGGAAGGTCTGCTTGCTTAAAAAGTGTCACGAATATTTTTTCCAAACTTTACGATTTTTCTAAACTCTCGACAATTTCGATAAGTCATAATTGTCGTCCATCTGATATCTGATTAAAATGAAGAAAGTTAACTGTATGGCAGTTCTCCACAATTGGATCACAACTTCGTGTAGAATTTAATAATTTTTAAGATTGTGGTTTTGAAAAATCGAGTTGCTGTTGCTTGTTACTTTTTATCGGAAAACGGATATCGTTTTCGGTTAAAATATTAGTGGAGTCCGAAAATATCGCAAAGTTAGGAAAAAATTTCAGGAGACTTCAATGTAGACCTCCAAAATCGAATCATAATTGTCGCAATGGTGAAAACAATCAAATAATTTCTAAATTTTACAGAATACGTTCAAACATATTGCTTAAAATATAAAGAAATGAACGCCAGTAAAACAGCAAAAAAGCGCGACAAATGGGCTTCCTGCCACGAGCAATTAGTTTATCGTTGCGCTTGCTGCATGAAAAGCCCTTGTAACATTGAACCACGATTTCAATGCTCCAGCTGCGACTACAGCGCAAAATCGAAAGAAAAACTGACGAACCACGTGCGTACAGAACACGCCGTGAAAAAGTGTTCCGGCTGCGACAAAACATTCGCCAATAATCGATCGTTGACGACACATCGTTTGACGGAATGCAAAAACTTCCCTCAGGCCAAATGCACCTTTTGCTCGTTCAAGTGTAACTTTAACACAGAATTAAAGAATCACATTAGAAGTAAACACAACGCAAGACACGTCTGCGTATGTGGCAAAAATTTCAAGCATTTTATCACGCTAAAGAGACACAAGGTGATTTGCAGAAGAGTCGAATTCAAATGCGATCATTGCGAATATACAGTTTGTGAGAAAGCTTTGTTGACTAAGCATTTGAAAAATCAACATACTGATGCCTATGCGTCTCCGCAACAACTATTTTATGATGATTGATTTTCCAAAGTCACTTTTTTCTAGAGCCACTTCAGATTCAGTTAGCACTTGAATTTGAGAAAAATTGACATTTTAAAAATATTTTTTACTATAACGAAAGATAATTTTTTAAGTTACTATAAAGGATTTAAGACAATTACTTTACTTTTGATTATATAATGTTATTATTGTTATTTTTTACATTAGAGGCTTGTAAAAAATAATCATGAGTATGAAAATTTAAACGTGGATTTTTCTTTGATCTACTGTTATAATTTTCTTTATTATAATGTTTTGTTGAAATCGAAGTTTATAAAAACATACACTTTGCACTAATTTCTACATATACCTATTATTTATTTCTGCATACACCTATTATTTATGTATAATTAACAAAACTTGATATAAAAAAGCAAACATTTTAAAGCTTCGAACAATAAAATGCTAATATATATTGGTCAAAAATCAAATAAAAATACCAATACTATTTTTGCGCATCTTTTTATAAATAGCAATTTATAATAAGTTTAAAAAGTTATTATTTATTATATATACGAAAATTTGCTAAACTATAATTTGTTCATTGAACTTTATATTCTAAACACAGATATGATGTAACAGAAACTTGAAAAAAAGAAATAAAAAGCTATAAAAAATTAACTAAAAATTAATTTCTTAATGCCTCCAAATGAAATTCAAAATTCACTTTCAAATATAATATGATTTCTTCTATTATCGACTACATTCAAAATATATAGAGACATTATACACTGACACATACCAATAAATACATAAACGTTATGTATGTACATGCATAAGGCACTCGCTAAACGTAAACAAAACTCCTCGGTTACGTTTCGGTCATGGATTACAGCTCAGTGGCGGCGTTCGAAGAAGCGGCTTGTCCGTTATACAGTGCCACTTTATCAAAAAGCTCTTTGTCTTGTTTCATGTTTCAAAGTGATGAAATAATCTCTCTACTTTTTCTTTCGGTACGGCTTCTTCATTTGTTTGCTTCATGCAAACATTATTTTGAGTGTCGAATTCTGAGGACTAACATTGCGTCATGAAGGTGTCCATTGTGTTAAGGCGGTCGACAATAATTGTGTTTCTATATATGTAACAAATATGTAGTGGACGAAAGTGATTGCAGTGTTAAATGATTTGGTTGATGTGCTTGGTCAGAACGAGAGGATTAACAACTGAACAATTAGAGGATTACGCATATACAAATCTTATTATCTTGTTTCGGAAGTCTTTGAGTGTCAGCGGTTCTGTAAGTTTTTAAAACTTATTTTTAAACTTATTGTTATTATTATTATGACTCACGTCATTTAAGCGTTTATTTATATATAAAACGCGTGAACACTACTTATAGTACTAGTTATAATAATGCTGCAGTATGTGATATTTTTTAATATTAATATAATATTTTTTACAAATATTTAATTAACTGAATCTTAGTTTTTTGTAGTCAGTATCTATTGTCTCATATATATATATTTTAGTACAGTCAATGAAAAATGTGAAGTTTAAAAAGTTATTAAAAAGCTTCCTATATTATTGATATTAAATTTATGAGATTCAATCTTTAAATTAAATTACAAGATTTACAACAAAACTTGTACTTGTCTGTATGACCTGATTTACTTTACATATGTGCTGACTAAAACTATCTAACTATGGCAATTGGCAAGTTTAATTTTATTAAATAAAATGTCACTTTAATCGTTACAGTTTTAACTCAGCAATATGGATGAAAAAGAAAATAATTTACAAACTCATTGTAATGGAGGTAAGTTTGTGTCAGCTTGGGTTCTACTTTAACTCAAATTGATAATGTTTACCTATTTCTGCAGTTATGAATAAAGTTATTTTTACATACAAATAAAATTTTTCAAACAGCTTTATATTGTAAACTATCCATACTTCCATTAATTTTACAGAAAACTCATATAAGATAAGACAGCTTTCTGATGGTTTACAAAGGATTGATATTAATCAGATTGATTATTATAATGGTATATATATAATTATCGGTATTTAGGAAACAGATCAAATCAATATATATTATATTTTTAATTGTAGGATTAGGTACTAGTGAAAGTTTAGATGCAACGATTGGCTATAAGAATAATGATTTTCAAGTGACTATTAATCTTAACGAAGAATGTCAATTTAAAAATAAACATCATACCTTAAAGAATACAGGTAGATTAATATATTTACTTTATGTTTTATTAGATTAAAACCATCTTAGACTAAATTGATTCTTATGACTAACAAATTCAACTTTGTGTAGTTGATACAGATGTCAATATGTTGCTTGAGTTTGGAGAAGGCATGGAAAATCAAAATTCAATGGAGTCATTTATAGGTGAATTTAATAAGTTATTTAAATATTTTGAACAATAAAATTTCTAATACTATTCTTGGTAAGCCAAAATATGCTATTTTCAATTTTAGGTTCACCGAAATCAAATAATGAAGGTGCGAAAGCATTAAAGAAAGAAACATGTCACGAAGCAAATCAACAAGGCATCAATGTGCAAAGTGCTAAAATTAAATGTGATTACTGTTAATAAACTCTTAAATTTTTTAAATATTTTTAAATATCAGATTTACATTTTTTTCAGATCACTCTTCTGAGCATGCAAATGTAATCAAAAGTAGAAGCTATCAAAGTAAATGAACTCTTTCTTTTATAGACAATGTAAAAATGTATGTAATTTGATTTATTATTAAATTGAATTTTTTTTGATAGGCTACAGTAATTTAATTACCAAATACTGTTTTAAATGCAAGTTAATTTCAAAGAATATTGTAGACTGGAAGTGCTCCAACTGTCAGTTGTTATTACAATTTAAATGTAAGAAATGTAGCAGTGTATTCAAAAACTACATCGGGATATTGAATCACATAAAATGTGAATGTTACACATTACCAACCTACTACTGTCCTATTTGTAATTACAATACTTATAGTAAAGTCAGTCTTATACGTCATACACAAACTGAGCATTCCTTGTTCGATGAATCAGAATACTCTCATCGGTGTTCTACGTGCAAAAAAAAATTTAAAGAGCAGCATTCGCTATTAAGACATCAAAAAATGTGTGAAAATAAACTTAATTTAATCTGTCAGTATTGCCCTTACAAAACTAATCTGCATCATCTTCTTATACAACATATACAGAAGAAACATCATCAACATGTTATTAGCTGTCATAAGTGTCCTGGTTGTGACAAGAAGTACAAAGATTCAAGAACACTTCATTTACATATGAAATTCACATGCAATGTAAAACAATTCTTCCAATGTGATCATTGTCATTTTAAAACTGATAACAAGTTTTCTTTGGTTAGGCATGTTCAAGAAGTACACCATTAATTTATGAAAAAATCAATCTTGTAAATAAGTAAGGTACTTTTCTCATATAAAAAGAATTATTTTATTGCATTCAAAGTGATAATTGTGTAATAATAATTATTCAATTCAAATTTGTTAATATTTTTTCCATTGTAAAATATATACTTATTATATTTCTTATATCTTTATGATAACATTAATGATTTAAATTAAAAGTGAAAATTAGTTTTAAGAGTTCAAAGAATATGATTGTAAATAATTTTGTAGAATACAAAATATAAACGCTATTATAAATTTTTACTTTTAATTTAGATACTACATATAAAAATTATGTAGCAGGACTTAGTATTGCAATTAATAATAAAAATTTTCTTAAGAAATGAAATAGCTCATTTATATAGCTCATTCTGGAATGTTGGTTATTCTTTTGTCTCAATCTTTCAGTATGTTAACGTACTTCCCCCCCCCCCTCTCCTGAACAGATCATATACGCGTGTCTGACTATCGCACAACTCACTATGTTGAAGAAAACTTGTTACCGATCGTTAACACTGGATACCTAAATTTGTTAAGCAGAAATTGGAAAAAAGTAAAAGAGTATTTTTTAAATTGAAGTGAAATTAGGATATATGAAATGAACTAATTTTTGTGTGACGAAAAAACACGCTGTGATAAATTTAGTTTGTGAACTTTTGGCAGCTGCACTGTGTCCTACGAGACATTATTTGCCCTCTGCACCACCATTTTCGTGAGTGATTCTTGTATTTTATAATGTTTCCCATTATCTTGTACATAGAGAAAATGTGTTTTTCCAAGTTTTTCATATCGAATTGAATACAGTTACTCTATGTTTACATTTGGGGACCGATTCGTATACCGAATTATTTTATGTGATGCAACATTCAGTTTTGTTTATCTATTAAAATCATGCTATTACTTTTAGTTTGTCAACAAAAATGGCTGAAGAGTCAAACAAATACATTTATCGCAAAGTAGCTATAGGTATGTATTTTTGTGCTAACCTTTATTATTGAAGCTCTTTCGCAGAGAAGAATAATTTATAGGATGCTTGACAATTTTCAGAAAATTCTTATATTGTTGAAGATCTCCCTGATGGTTCCAAAAAAATTGTATTCCAGCCTATAATTTATATAAGTTGTAGAAATCAAAAAGGTATATATGAAGCTATTTAATTGTTTGTTACAAATGAAGAATGTTACAATTAATTTTTTTACTTCTAGATTTGACTATCATAGACTTTGATTTGACAGAAAGCATAACTGACAATGTTTCTGCTTTAGGTGTCAATAACATTAACAATAATAATCATACTGACTCATTAGTTCCAGTTGAACCAAACTCAATGAACAATGGTGTGTTAACTTCAAATATTGGACAGTTTCTTATAATTCATTTCCTACTTTGTTAAAAATTTAGTTATAATTTGCTTTTTCTAGGGATAAATATTGTTTCTGAAAATTTACCAGGAATTATAAAAGACATAAATCAAAGGAATTTAATTAAATCAGATATTGGTAGTCATATTTAAATCATTGTCAATGTTTGTAAATAAATTATCTTTAGTTTTATACTCTTATTATTTTAGGAACAGCTAACGATTTAGAAAGCTTGAAAGTTCAAACTCCAAATCAGGATGTATTAGAACCAATCATAGAAATTACAGAAACTAATTTTGATAATCCTACATTGGGTAAGTTTGTGATTATTAATTTTCATTCAATTTTTTAAATGTAATTTAAATTTTTATTTTTACCTTGGATATGTTGAAACTACATAAAGATTCAAGACAGACAAGAAGCCGCAAAAGTAAAAAAAATATTACATACCTTTTTGCCTTTTATTTTACAAATATTTTTTTAATTGATCAATCCATATTTTGATTTAATTTATAGATTTAAGTAAATCAATGAATGCATATTGCAGTAAGTGCCAAGAAGTTCTAAAAAATATCTCGAATGATAATTGTTCTAAATGTCAGTATCCCTTGCTATTCCAATGCATAAAATGCTTTCAATCATTTAAATCACATGTTATGGTAGCGAATCATGTTGGGCAATGTGAAGTTAAAATAAAATCATTTATGGGAAATGTAAGTTGCAAGCCTTTGAAAAGCCAAAATAATGCTACTATGAAGTTATTAGGCAGAAATATTGAGCAATGTTCTGCTGTCAAAAATCAAAGAAAATCTTTTGAATGTAAACAGTGTAAAGGTTTATTTCAAAATAATCGTAGTTTATCAAGGCACCAGGTAGTATGTGGAAAGCAAGGCCAATGTCCACATTGTCCATTTTCGAATACAAAGAAAGGAATCCTTTCTTATCACATCTCAAAAAAACATCAAGAATACATGCCAGATGATTTTAAGTGTTTACAATGTGGAAAAAAATATAATCAGTTTAGTTCTCTTAAGACTCATATAAGAAAATCAAAATGTAACAAGAAAACTTTGTATACATGCAATCATTGTAATCTTCAAACTTATAATAAGACAACTCTTGCTAATCATTTAAAAAAAAATCATGTCTATAGTTTAAAGCAAAGAGTTTCTGCAAAATTGAAGATTTAATTAGTTTTTATATAGTATTTCGTGTTTATGTTGCTATATATTTTTTCTTTGTGTTCTTTTTTAAATATGGATATATAGTTATATCATTTTTATTATTTTGGTTTGTGTTAAGCCCCACTGAGTGGAAAGTGCATTAAAATTATATGCTTATATTGTTATAAATACTATGAAGGTTGAATTGCTATTCTTTATAGAAGTTTTATTGATTAGATAATTTAATTTTCGTGATATTTTAAATATCTATCATAAAAATAGGACTCTATAAAAATTTAATTTGTGAAAAATCTCTGTCGAAAAAATATTATCAAAAAATGTGTAAGACAAAATGCATTTGCATTTGAAATGGATTATAATTTAGTTGTTACAATAAACAATATTATTGAATGCATTTGCTTTTCATGTAGTCCTATATTCACATTTTACAATATGTTTGATTTTATTTATTATGTATTTTCTTTATGTATTATGTTTTGTGTAGTCAGTATAAAAAATTACTATAATTGATGAATAGTATCAATACATAAGAAGAAATATAATTATCATAGTAAAATTATCAAAAGAATATGAATTTTAAGTAGAGTATTTGAATGTATTTGTCTAAAATTATTTACTTAACGATTATATTTTATACTAACTTTATTGAATAGATGTATTATTTTATTTGCAATAAAAATCAAACTATAGATAAAATTACAGTCAATAAAATAATGTTACTTTAGTTTTTCTTTCAAGTCCATTTAATCATACTTATCATTGGTATGTTGAAATTTTATATTAAATTTAAAATCGATAATTTTGATATAATATTAATTGAATCACGAACATGGTTACTGTTCGTTTATTTTTTTTCTTAATGTACTAATTGTCAATTTGTTTTTCTTACAGGTGTTATCATAGAAAAGCTTGTGATTGAATTAGAATGTGTAGAATGTACAAAGTGTGACAATCGTTTGTCAGAAACGTAAATTCTCACGGTAATTATATTAGCGATAGTAGATTCGCAACTTCTATTAGCTATCTAATAATGAGTACCTAAAGTATGCTAAAATTTTTATATGCAAATATTATTTGAGTAAAATTGTGTATCAAACTATCAAGATTCAAATTTTCAGTAATAATGCAATTGCTTATTTTCAACAATCGTTTTGATATCAAAAACAGCACAGTTGGTTTAGAAATTAATATTTATACTCGAATGTTATATGGATACGTATTTGAACATTACTCCCGAAAAAATAGATGTTTTATTTATCAAATTAAACGTCACTATATGCATGCTTAATGTTGACTTGTAATTTAAAAACGCTAACTAATTGGTAATTTTTAATTGATTGATTTCATGGTGAGGGTGCATCTCGTTTAATACTTATGGTAATCTTAACGGATCAAATCAAATCAAAATTCGCAACCAACAGATTGCTATATACCTGCATTGTACAAGTGCGAAATCTGCGGCAAAATGTACAAAGTCAAGCGAACTCTGGTTCGTCATAGAAGATATGAGTGTTGTCGGGAAACAAAAAATGACTTATTAAGAAACGAAAAAGAGCTTGCCAAACAACTATAACCCACGAAGACTTACTTACGCCAGTCTTATGGAAGAATATATAAATGGGCAACGAGCCTGTGTCGGCATTTAAGATTCGAGTGTGACAAGCAACCAGCTTTCTTCTGTGCTAACTGCAAGTTCGCCTGAAAGCACAAAGCTTATCTCGTTACGCACAATAAAGCCAAGCACGGCGTTTAAAAAAATTGAGAAGATATGTAACAACGAATCGCAAATGCGCTGAATGCGGAAAGTGTCGGCTGCCTTTATAAGAGGCGGTTTTTTTCAGCTTTATCAGTTGTATGTCTCACTTTTCTTAACGAATGTATTTTTTTTAAATAAAATCACAAGACAACAGATAACTTAACAATTTTGTTTATCCCAATTTCCAATTCATTTATAATCACATTTGTTATTTGTATAAGATTTTGCTAAACTTCCAGATTGTAATGTCGATGTAACGTTTGCTGCTCCACGAAAGTCTTTCAAGTTCATGTGTAGTAGTTGCTTTCTGTTAAAAAAATGTATTAATTACCATTGTATTTCTATTGCAGGTATTGTTTCGACAAATTTTAAGACTGGATCTGATTTGAAAGAACTAGGTAGGCATCGAAACCAAACTTTCATCTTAATTCATGTTCATTTCAATGTTGAAAACTGTATTAGTCGCTTCGTTCGTTTCAATGTCAATTAAAATATAATTAGTCCTGCCTTAAACGAATTGTTCTTTGAATGATCAAATTAATTTTTGCTATATGTTTATTTTTCAGACGGTAAATTGTTAATCAAGTGTATTCAAGATATAATTCACACCGACACTAAGTCAACGGCAACTTTGGATATTAAAAGTAACGTCAATTCTATTTGAAATAATTATTGAAATAAATATAACAAAGTGAATTAATGAGGAAAATCATTTTTTTGTTCAGAAGAAGATTGCAGCTTTGAGTTAACGACTTTGTACGATGAGCGAAAATTCGATCCAAATAACAGTTCTTTACACTTGCAGAATTTTAGCATGTTCGACAAATCATTAATACCGCCAGATATGCTAGGTAAATACAAAAACAAAAGCTCTACTTGAAGCGTCGATTAGAGCACGCAGACTGAAAACTGGCATTAATTACAGACGACGTTCTTCTGGACGTACTGGACAATGCGTTTGGCATATCCCCAAAGCCCAAGTTAATCGTGAGCATCCCGTTGAAGCAAGAAAAATTCAGTAAGCACTTGAGCGTCGCTAGTCGAGAAGTCGAGCAGCAACAGCAACAACAACAACAACAAGCTACTTTAACTGTCCGCGACCATGTTGCAGACTGGATAAACTTTGCCGAGCGGTACTGCGCGACGTGCGACGTCAGTTGCAGTGTCGGCGCGCCGTCTAGCAAGGAGCAAAATTGCGCTAAATGCACGGACACCTTGAAAATCCGTTGCCTCAAATGCGCCAAGTGTTACCTGTCTTTTCGAGCCGCTTACAAGCACGTCAAGTACGAGTGCCAGCCACGATTTCAATGCAGCCATTGCAACTACAAGGCGTCCTATCAGCACAAACTCGACGCTCATCTGAGGAACAAGCACGTTGCTGCTGCTGCTGGCTTCGAGGATCAAGACACTTTGCTCAAGTGCACCAAGTGCGGTAAGAAGTACAAGAATCGCTCGTACTTTTGGAAGCACAAGTGTATTATTTGAAATTTCTTATCTTTTTTTTGTATTCTTAGCGCGACATTTGAACAAGACAAAAGATTCTTTTTTATTGATGAATACTCCATTGTTAAGTGGATTTTATACGATATTACGTACAATTTGGTACATAGAGAAATCCAATGTAACAGAATTTGAATGCGTAATAAAATGAATCAAATTTTCTTAACGTTATTTTGCAGTTATTTTTCAGTGCTTATCCACTGTGTAAACGTAGAGTTTCGTTTGAATTTGTAATAATTGAAAATAATAGAGCATAACAGCAACTGAAATTATGGAAGTAAATAAACGTGAACTTAAATTTTTGTTTTATAAGATAAATATTTAGATTTCTTATAAAGCAAAAATTGATGAACGTGTAATCGTCCTATTTTCGTATTTTCTTCCGAATTATTTTGTAAACCTTGTAGCTTCACAATCCGATAGATCATTAGCCTTATTGCCCCTCAAAATCATTGGTTGGATCTGAAATAAAGGGTGGGCCCTTCTTTCCGTGAACTCTCGCCCACAGAATCATTGATACCATCGATCCAAGCGTATAAAAAATGTTTTCCCTGTATCTCCTCGACTACTTTCTGCAAAACTTTCCTGACCCGATATTGCCGAGTAACTGCAAAATGTTATGATGCTGTCACCATCTTCACCGGCGCTATTCCCTACGAAAGTCGTGAGTCGTTATAACAATAAACTACGAATAATATTATCCTACGAATTATAGGAGAAAGCTGAAATATCAACGGCGCCGATGTCCTTTATGATCTCTCAGATGAAAAGCTTGGGGAGCGAGTGCGAGAATCAAAAAAACTGTGGCTGCGAGACGGGAAGGAAGCTTCTGAGTTCATGAGAAACTCAGTGAATTGTTCTTGAACGGTTTGGAGAGAGTTGTAGCGACAATGCGAGGAAGCTGCTCGTGGCGTTGTTAACGATGCACCTGTCATGCAAAGTACTCGACGAAATCAGAGCCGAGGAGGAGGCGAATTGCAAGAAGATTACCGAGATCGTGAAAGATAATATTAAACTCGCTTCGGACAAGTGTCTTCGAAGCTTTGTCTTGATCGATTTCAAAATTCATCGTCGAACGTTTTCATTGTAGATGACAAGATTAAATTGAAAGTGGAGCTCGTCAACAACGGGCACCAACATTCGGCCTATCTTTTCATATGGAACGCGCTCTATCCAAATTACGCGGGGCAAGGGGCCAAGTATCTTCCGACTTTTCATCGACCGGCTCTCGACGAGCTATGCTGCGTTTATTGCTGCCTAACAATGACGAGCGACTCGGAGGTCAAAGTTGGCGATGATATTTCCGAGTTCACCTGCCAACAATGCTTCTCCATGAACTTGGCTCGTTCGTAATTTACATTACTTTCGTTTGGCCTTTTGTTGTTGCCATTACTCGTCTGTTGATGCGCAGCGATTTTAATATTCACATCGTTCGCCGTAGTGCGATTGTGTACTTTAAATTATTCTATTGAGATTTTAATGAGCTTTTCTTGTTAATTTGCGTCCTCAGGGTTCACTGAGCTCGTAATATCGATGTTTTATATGTTGTAAATAAATGCGCATTGAAAATCGACGTATATTGCCGCTCACCTTCATTCGAACTCGCTGAAGTAATTATCAATTATAATTGATCGTGCCGTCCGACAATATTTGCTTGACCTTTACGAAAAAAAAGGCTGGCGAGCTTCGAGCCGTCGACAAGAAAGGAAAAGCGCCCGTCTCGTCCCATGAATTTTCGTTGTTCCCCTATTCCTAGTTCGATAGCCTACTTAGCCATTAAGACGTCGCAGGCTGCGGTGGCCTCGAATCGCGCAAAGCCCTGTCATTGCGACACAGTAGTGGCGCGAAAATTACACGTTCGAAACTCCCGTTCTCAGCAAGTGGCGGCATGAGAGCCGGAGGAGGGCACTTACCAAGGATCGGTCTAGGCGTCGCGGCGAGCAGCTGCGGCAGCTTCTGCAGATAGTTCAAGTCCATCACAATCACCCTATCCTTCTCCGCTGATATTGTCACGTTCGTCCTGTTGAACACGCTGCTCAGATAGGTCGTCCAGTTCCACTGTTAACCCATGGACACAACCCCCATTTTATTCGATGACCATTGTGTGTATGTTTATTCGTTTAGTCGTAGCAACAAACGTTTTAGCGAGATTGCAAATGTTTTTTTTCCAAGCGAGCTGTTAAAATCAATCGCTGCACGCGCAGTCTTCTGCAATCAATCGACCCCATCAATCACTTGATTGATTGTTCGATTCACCCCGCCCTCCTTTTTTTTACTGATTAGGCTGTCGGCTCGGTGTGTTTGAAATTTGCGAGCGTTACACGCGACTGTCTGTTCGCAAGTGTACGGTACCATTGTCGATTTTGAGTGTACAACGATCGACAGCACTATTTACGAGACAGATCCTCCGTGTGATTTTCACAGTGATCGAACCGAGTTTGCACATCTATAAATATTTGCTTATACTTGACTGCGCAAAAAAGAAGAGGAGCTTGAGTTTGTTGCATTATTCACAAATTTTTCTCAGGTTTGAAAAATCTTTCTCAAAGCTTTTTGCTTTTTGAAAGGTGCGACGAAAACAATAAACGCGTTGAAGAATTCCATTGGAAAATCGACTTGTCGATATGCGGGTGGAATTTCTCGGCTGGAAAAATAGTAGATTGCGTACATAGGCAGGGAAAGTATTATTGGTAAGTCCACAGCGTGTGAGAGTTGGACGTGTCGTGGGCTTGCCGTGGTGCGTGTACTACTTTTTTGCCCAGCGAGACCGAGATTAGTATGTTACCGACTGAGCCGCAGCCGGAAGATGCTACCTTCGAACTGCTGGAGAAAAGAAAAATAGTATACGACTGGGCTTACGCGCTATGCTTTCTAATAATTTTGCGGCCTCTGGTTGTAATCTGCTATTTCGTTCGGCAATGAAAAAAGACAAAAAGGGGATGTGAAATGCAATATACGCACCTGCGCGGCATACATGTCTGTCAACTGCTGGAGCTCGACGACAGACACCTCGTGAAACAGGTGATTGACACTTCGACGTTCCTCCGGCGTCGACAGAATCTATACGGGCGAAAATTCAATGATTAAGGCCCGGCATCAATCAGCTTCTGGGATGTTTGTTGGCGCGCGATTAGGCGATCGGCGCTGGTGCTCTGGCAATCAGGCCATATCGTATTAATATTTCCTATGTAATAATGAGACGAGATTTTCGATAATTGCGATCGGCGATTCGAGGAACATTTATCGCTGGCCGCGCCGAGTGAGGCTTTGAATTATTGATGCTCGGCGCTGGCTCCCGTCGCGGCATTACCACATTTATGAATTGTAAATCGAGAAGCGCCACTCGAGAGCGAGCGCAGCCGAGGCTCGAGCGTCGGTTTTTCGGCATTGTAATCGGCGGCGGCGCGTACCTTGGCGACGGACGTGCTGAAGTCGAGCAGCTCCTCGGCGAACTCGGCGCTCCGCTCGCCCGCTCCGCTCAGCGCCAGCATCGCCTTGATGTACTTCTTGTACTCCTGCAGCTCCGTGCGGAAGCGCGCCGGGTCGAGCAGGTAGTTCTCGCTGAATCCCCACGTCAGTTGCTCCATCTTGGGCGATGACGGTCGATCGGGAAACAGAGAAGACGCCGCTCAGTGTCGAGCCCGCGCGGAGGCGCAACTTCTCGCGCGACCTCTGTGCAAACACATCGAGCTGCCAAGAGAGAGCGAGCTTAGCCCGTTTCGCGAGCGCGGCTGCGCTATTGGTTTTACGGATTAGGCATTGGTTCAACTTTGACGGATTTCGTCCGCCCCCGCACTGGCTGCGGATACACTGATAATTCGATGACTTTGCCTTCGCTCCTTTGCGTCTCATTTGCAACTTTCAACGTTTCTGTTTTCATATACTTACTCGCTGCTTTGCTTGCGCGCACGTGAGTCTTTGTTTTTCCGTCCTCTTTCTTATTTTTACATTGAAAATACGATTAATAGAGCGTACTTTTGCAGCTTTCTGTTACTTTGAATGAATAGAGTTTCGACTGCTTCTTTCAAATTCGCAGCGAAAATTATATTCACAATTGTTATTGCATTGATAATTACCATTGTATTTGTACTTACGACGGCAACGTAAATAACTACTCGCAAAGCTTGCAGCATTGGAGTCTCCGCCTCCAGGCGCCATTGCCCAAGACCCCCCGTTCGCATCGCACAAGTCCCCTTCGCCAAGTCCCGCCCATCGTCAGGCCCCTCTTACCATCATGCGATTCCTCGTTGTATCCCGAACGTCCTCGCTCACGTGGAAGTTGAGGAGAAAGTTGAGGCCGAGATTGCGCCTCAACTCGCCGGACAGACGCGCCAGATCCAAATCCGGCGCGCTACCGTTGTCCATCGGCAGCTCCCTCGGCAAGCCCAAACGGTCGAACACACCGAGGATAGGCTCCAGACCCAACGCCTCGACGCTCGCTGTGGATGAAGAGGAAGAGAGAGAGAGAGAGAGGGCGGGGCGGGCTCGGCGGGGCAGGCGCCGCCGGACACTCCGAGCAGGCCGACGTTGCGGGTGCATCGCGCGCGCGCGCTCGCTCAACGGGTCCCTACCCGATAAAATAAGCGTTTGATTTCTCCCGAGCCGATGTCGCGCGGCGTCGGGACTCGAGCCTCGCTCGCGCAATCCGAAGCAGTCATCCCTTATTCAGCAGCGCGATTCTCCGCCGAGCGAACGCGAGCTTAATGGCATGCAGGTCGCGTAAAGGCGCCGCGCGCGGTCCCCGCGATCATTCCTTGTCTGCCTCTCTCCGCGATTGCATTTGCCGCCGCCGCGCTCCGTTTGTGTACGCCTCGGCTGCCAAAAGAATGCTCAACGATGGATCGCAGATGCGGGCTTAATTGCTGCTGTTTGCGCATTCAAATTGCGTCGAGCGAGACCGTTGTCGCGTAGCGTAAAGGCAGCTTTCTGCTTTGAAAACCAATCCCACTTCAACGCTTGCGTCGATTTGCCCTAGCCTATCGCTCTTGGCTTGCGAACAACGGGGCGCACCTTTGCCCAAATGTTGAGCCACGCTAACGCGAGTCTGCTGGAGCTGCGCAGGACCGTGCTCTCTTTCACCGGTAGCGATGAACGAAAATTGATTCTTCGAGGAAAATCCGAGTAGAAAGCCAGCTTAATCTCGGACCGAATCTCTTTCCGCGTCTCGGCCTCAAATGGCGCGCGCGCGCGCGCAATGAAAAACTTGTTGTCCCCGCGCGCGTCTTGGGAGTGACAAAGCCCTTTATTTACAAGGCAAATACCCCGGCGCGCTGCTCGGGGGCGGCCCGCCTCTGCCGCGCAGTAAAGTGCTCTTGCGTGAAAATTCATAGCGTTCGGTAATCGCGCTTGCAAACGTGAAGAGGACGCGCGCGAGAAAGTAATCCGATTCGGCCGTGCAAACGTAATTTGGCGCCCTATACCCGAAAGTCAAGCCGAAGAAGGAACGAAAAGAGGACGCGAGTATTTGACCGAGTAATCGGTGGTTCGTTCAATTTAATTCAGATATCGCAAGTGCACTCGGCCGGAAAGTCCTACTACTGCCAACGCTCAGAGATGTCGCTACAGTAATTTGCCGATGTTCGATTTGCGTTCGTTTAGTTCGGTCGACCGTAATGAATCGCTGAAAAAGGCAATTATCATCGGCGATTGGCAGTAACGAGAAGATGAATTCGAATCGATCTTCTGCCTCCACTCGCAATAATAACTCGCAATAATAACTACCAACTATCCATACCAGTGTCCATGCACGTCCTGTAAAACGTCCTCGCCATCTTGACAGACTTGGGATCGTCTTGATGATCCGGCTCTTCGAGCAAGATCCGCAGATTCTTCAGCAACTCCTCGCGCAAGCGACTCAATTGGTCCCAGGACGTCTGGCTCTGGGGTATCGGATTCCTGGCGATCCAGCCGCCGCAGGCAAACTTGTAAAAGTCGTCGCACGGCTCGACGCTTTTGTTCAAGCTCTCGATCACTCGCGCCGCTGTCGGAAAGGACAGAGTCGATGAATTATTAACGGTAAGCTCGGCGACACGACGAGTCCACCGCGGGCCACTCCAGCGCGCTGAATCTTCGCTTGAATGGAGCGCGCGGCCGTTTGCTGTGTGCAACCCCCCACCCATCGCGAGCCCGTACATGGGCTTTGCGCTTGAGTTCGCACGTCCTCGCCGAGGGTAGGTTTTCTCACTAAACTTACAATTGCCCCTTCTTGCGGATGGTTTACCGTTCGAAAGCGCAAATGCACGCTCGAAAAGGAAGTTTCGTCTGTACCTGTCTTGACGCACTCCTCTGTCTGGCACATCTCCTTGTACTCGTGTCCAGCGCCAAACACGGCGATTTGCAGGGTGAGCGTGATTACGAGGGCAATCACCGCCACGGCCAGCAGACCAACTACGATTATTAGCTTCGTTTCCTTGGCTCGCGCGCTCTTCTCGTCCTGCTGATGCTGCTGCTCCCTACACACCAACAGAATTTCCTCGTCACGCTCACCTCGCCGTACCAACTCGCTTTCGTCGCTCTTTCTTTGAAGCTGCTTTGAAGATCGAGCGGGACTTCGATTATCCGACGTCAGATCTCCATTGATCGAGCGACGCAAGGGTTCTGCAATCTTTCATCACCACGCGGAATATCTATTTCCTTTTCAACGAAACTTCTCGCGATACGTACGCGTGCAGTACAAAGCTTCTCGCAGTGGGCAAGAGCGAAAGCACAGAGCAGATCTATCAATGTCGAGCAACATAATAGAGATCTGATATGTAAGGAAGAAAATCGGGCGGCGCGCGCAGCTTTTCAGATTTACGCGCATACGGCGAGAGAAAAGGAACGACCGACACACAGATGATAAACTTGAGGAAAGTACGGATGCGAAGGACCATTACGACGCGCTAAGCTTCGCAGCTTTCTGACGAACAAAGCAAGTCGCTGCAAGTCCAATGAACGCGCAAGTAAGAAGAAAGTTCGTGCTGCAACTCACCAGGAGGTCGGCGCCGAGCTTCTCCTCGTGTCGTCGGCGGCGCTCTCCGGATCGTTTACCTGCAAGCACACAGAGTTCCTGTTTTTAACTTGGCTTCGTACGTATGTGTGCGATTCATCGAGTTTCAGAATAAAAACCCCTATACCCCGGTTTTAAATTTGAAAAAGAAATAGTTTATATGCTTCACGCAGATAGAGAGGGAAAGAGAGGAGGCTTTCAGGCAGGCATGCTTTTTTCGCTTTCGCTTTCGCTTTTGCTTTTGCTTTTGCTTTTGCTTTTGCTTTTACTTTTGCTTTGGCTGGTATGAATATTGAGCTCTGCCACAAATTAAACTTTCAATATTTAACTTGTTCCTTTACTAATATTTTTTTCTCGTTTTTGCTTTTCTGTTTGCAGATGATGCGAATAGGATTGGTTCGTACGGGTTTTATTGGGGGCAATTCGTTGAAAGACTTATTTTCAGGAATGGATGTTTGATTTTTCATTACAGGAATACACTTTCTCGCTCCGGTACCGCAAGCAGGAAAAAAACATACTCCAAAAAAGGATAGTAAGAGAAGTTTCGCATTTTGAAAAAAAAACAGCACCTGTTGGTTTATTGATCAATTATTTGTGTTTCAGAGACAAGAGTAGACCTTTGCGATAAAAGCCCCATTGATAAGGAGGTGAAGGTATTCCTTAAAAAATTATGTAAGATTTCAAGTCTTAATATTACTTAAATTTTATTATAAAATCATAATCTAAAAATGTTCATGGTATTTTTCAGCATGCGAGGAAATCAATTACTATCCATCCATATTTAAAAAGCGGATCCAAAAGTTTTGTAAGTTTTTATTGTTTTGCAATAAAAAAAAATTTAGTTCTTCTAGTGACTTATGAAAATCATAAATCCTATCTCACAGCATCTGCAAGTATGATGAAATTGTATTGCTTAAAGTGCAAAGTCTCTGTAGAAAAAATACATCGTCTAAGAATCTCTCAATGTTCTGTTTGTAAAGAGCTGTTGATGTACCAGTGTAAATTTTGCGACAGACTGTATCAGTCGCACGTTGCGCTCAATCATCACTTGAGGCAAAATCAGTGCAAAACTGTACGAAGTTATTGTAGAAAAAATTATGAATATGGGAAATCTGGTTAATTTTATGACATAATTTAGTTTAGTCACAGTGAAACTGCATTTACTGTTTATTTTTTCCGTTCCTTTTCTGTTTATTTATACTTTTAAATATTAATAACCATATAACGTTTGAATATGCATGATTTTCCTGTCACACTAACGATTATATATGAATATAGAAAATGTGTATTTCTTGAAAAAAAACTTTACGTTCCATTAAAAAAACTAACGAATAATTAAAAATATTACATGCATGTACATGATATTTCATTGATCAATAACTGAATGTTCAACACTATATTAATAAAGGTTTTTCAATTAAACTTGTGTTTAAAGATATATTGAATACTTTATTTATTTATTCGCTTGTGTATACTATTAATTGAGAGTGGAAATAATCGTTGTTCGTGCATTATAATATGGCTCATGGAATTTTTTCATTTTTAGCAGTCGGCATTACACTCGCTTTCGTTGATGAGGAAAACCTTGCTTTATAAAACTCTGCATGAATCTCCAAGATGAATACCCTAAAAAAACTTCACAACTGTGGCGTTTCAGGGGTTCTAAGAAATAATCTTCAGAATATAATGCCAGATCTGTAACGTATTTCGGTTGCTCGTCGTCAGTATGCAAATCACATTCGTGCACACAACGAAATTTCATTTCGTTTTAGAAACGTTCTCACTCTTATATAATCCTTTCTATGTCATTGGCATACAATATTCGATTAATCTGGAATTATTGACAAATAGGTAATAAATTTCAATTTTGAGGCTTATCTGAAACTGGATTTTGTATCTTTGCTAACTCTGCCTACAGTAACTTTTACTCGTTATGGAAATTATACTGAATTTCACAAAAATTATAGATCTGAATAGTAAGATTATCAAAGTAGGGTGATATCACCTGAGCTGCATTCAATGTCTTAATATATAAATCACTTGTAAACTAAAATTTGTTGAATCTTTAATTTTAGTTTAATTTGTCGAGTATTGAGGACACTTATGGATACCAAATTTATTCGTACTGAACTAACATTAATATTATTTTTTAGATATTGAATGATGAGAGGAAATTACTCTCTTAAGTCAACCCAACGCATATAAGATCAGAAATAACATCGACTGGCCATTCTTTAAAATCAGAAATGCCCAAAAAAATTAAACGAACATCTTCGGTTATAATCGTTAAGCAATGAACAAAATATAGAGAAATATATATGTCCAAAATATTAAGGATCCTAAAAAACCAACGTACCTGTTAAAATCATAATTAATATGAGTGCGAGTACGTGGAGTATTTCATCTATGACGATTGCATGTACAAATGCGAATGCAAAAACAGACTACTGAAATTAACACGTTAACAAAAAGCAAAAAAAGTAAAATATTCTATGTAACAATTGAAACATAACAATCAGTGCTAAAAGGATCTACCTGTACACAGAAAAAAGATACATAAAATGTTTACTTGTTAATGTTGAATGAAACAATGTATAATGATTATTGTATGTACAAAGCCTCGCCATAGTTCTGAATCGAGGCCGACATGTTCTTTCATAATCCATATATAAAATAATAAACAATTTTTATTTTTCAATTCAATTTCTTTCTAGTGTTTTCCTGGTCTTACGTACTCAATGCTATTAAAAAGTGAATTGATTTATCTTTTTAAATGTTGTACGAATGCGAAGTAGAGTAATAATCATGAGTTAAGAATAAACCATTTGTTTATATTTAGGGTCATAAAATTTTTCAACATATTTTTTTATTTTGGCAAGTATCGTCAAAGCAAATACTCTACATCGATAAACTCATGTTTTCTCAAAATTTTATATATTGAATAAATAATTTTTGAAGCGATGATTGTCTTATTTTATTTTGACCATTTAGACTGAATTTTATATGTTTATAATTTTCTCTATCAATTTAGTTGCTTATAGATATACGCTTGCTCTTTTAAACTTCCACTTTATTCTTAAATAAATGGTATACTAATATGTAAAATTCTTGTAGTCATGGTGACCAAAGTACATTTATTTTTTAGGTGCACATCCCTTTGACTTTGGAGCTGTAAATGACATCAAAATATGTAATATAATCTCTGGTTTTCGAACAGGTGAGATTCAATTATTTTCAATTTTGCGTCAATAATGTAAAAAAATCGCTAATGATGTAATTATTTGGTCTATTCATTTCTCTTGACTTTATTAACAGATAATGAATTGCTGTATAATCCAGAATATTATTTTGTTGATGTAAATGAATTATTGAAATCTTTGATTTTGTCAGATAATTTTACAGGTATTAAGCAAATAAAAAATATTTTTAATGGTCAGAGTATTATTTGAGTAATATTTTTCACGTTAAATTCAGGTAATGCATATTGTCAGGATATAACGATCAAAGAAGAAATAGATCCATTGGAAATGAAATCACAGCTTTCTCTTAGTAAGATAATTATTATTTGCAATAAATCATTCGAGTATTTAAATTTTTTATTTTGTTTTAGTATATGATAAATCATTTAACTCCTGTGCTCAAATTAAACAAGAAATCAGTTCGTTGGATATCAAACCAAAACCATTCATTGGTAAGTTTCTACTAATAACTTACTTATTACTTTAACGGTAATAACAATGGAATTAATATGTAATTTTTGTTTTAGAAAATAATAGCCAATATAACATTAAACAAGAGTCTGATAAATATGTTAAAAATATCATGCACAAGAGGTTTAAAAATAAAACCGATGAAACCAGTAAGTTTTTCTTAAATTCACCATATTTCGAACTCAAATTTGAGACATATCGTACCTTTAATATTTCAGAGAAAAAGAGCTTTTATACGTACTACTGTATAGATTGTTGTTCGTATTACGAAAAGGTATATCGTAAAACTTTACGCGACTGTCCTAATTGTCAAGCGAAGCTGGTATATGAATGCAAAGGTTGCAAAAAAATGTATATCTCAAAATTTAGCATGCAGTATCATTCTTTCACATGTTCGTTAATTGACCGCGACATCAATAAAGAAAAACTAGAAAGACCTACTCGTCTGTCGCAAGTTGTATTTGGGTCGACGTCTAGAAGTTAGTATCGAAATGTTTTCGGTACAACTTATAATGCATATTTGTTTTACATTTTTGAAACTGTTCTTCCAGATGATTCTGCTTCTCGATTTCGATGCTGTTCATCTACCGTAAAACAGTACCGAAAACCAATCGAGCGACACTCGCAAAATGCCGTAAAAATGGGAGCAACTGCGCGATCGAATAAATTTCGAAATCAATTGGAGCCAAGGCATTTTAAAAAGTGCGCGTCAAAGCAGTCGGAGAATCAACTAGTGGCCGTTAAAAATAATTCATCTGCAAATCAGTCGGTAGAAAACCAGAGCGAGCTACCGAATCGTCGACCACTTGCCGATGGCAATATGGAGCCCAGACAGCGTTTGACACGTCAGAGTTCGATCAAAACTGATAAGCTACCAATGAAATCGGCGAATAAAATTCCGAAAATAGAGCACGTGGAGAAATTCAAACAATACTGTAAGTTTCTTCGTAATTTCATCAGTGGCAACGGCGTAATTTATTTTATCATCTGTTTCACAGCTATAGAAGGTGCAGTAATGCTGTTTTGTCAAGGTTGTCGCAAAGCCACCAAAAAAGTGTTTGGTGATGGTGGTAAACTGTGCCAAACGTGTGGCAAAGCTACTCTGTTTCAATGCATCAAATGCTCGAAAGTCTACGTGAATTATACATCGCTTTCCTATCATGTAAAGCGGTGTATAAATGTAGTTACCAAATCAATAAGAGTTTAAATATTTCAATCGAATTGCACTTTTTACGTGGAATTATAATAAAACATTCGCGAGATAGTTTCTCGAAAACCGCAATTACGAAAACCAAGTCTTGAACTCAACTTTTATTCACTCTAATCATGCC